CATCGCTCTGTGTTACTTCCTTTCTCGAGAGTTGCAGTAGCGTGGTCAGCTTTCTCTTGCTTACGTGGCCACTCGGGCCAACACTGCTGATATATTCACCAAGGCACTTCAGTCTGGTGATCATCGGCGTTTCTGTACTGTTTTAGGCCTTGTGCCTACTTTGCCTCACTTGCTCACTGCGTGATTTTGCTTGTACTGTGATATATATATACACCTGCATGCTTACTCTTGTTAGGGCATGATCACTGTATTGTTTGTTCTCTTTTACATAACTCTGCATGTGAACTGGCCTTGTGGCCATTTGCTTGTGCTCGGAATGTGTGGTGACTTCGTGATCCACCGTGAGCTTACTTTGCTTTTCTTGACTGGTCTTGTGACCACTTGTTCTCCCCCACTTTGCCTATGGGGGTGTGTCAAAATGTTATAATGCTTACATTGTGTAGGCTATAGTGGGGTAGCCCATAAGGGGTACAACCCAATTAGGGTTAGTACTTGTACCAACTTTCTGTTCAATGCATTCATTCTCGTTCAGTATCCTGACAGTGTTGTACCCCATAAGGAGTGCCCCACTATAGCCTACACGTAAGATTGTACTTTGACAGTACTAAGGGTGCATTCCGCTCAGGACATGTCCCTTAAGAAAGTGTCGCAAACCCCTTTCTGGCCGAGTCGTGCTCAAATGTCTCTGAACCTGATGTCACAAAGGATCAATGTAGTGCGACCCTGCAGTAGCACGCGAAAATTATACGAGAAGGGCTGTGATTGGCCCTACGTGTGAGTGGACCACTCATTGTGACGATCAGGCGCACCAACACAGCAAGCCCCTCAAAATCCACCAGGGAAAGCGGAAGTCGCGGATAGGTGGAAAGTTCGCCCTCCCCCAATAATTGCCAATCGAAAAGAACATGTCGGGAAACACAACTAGCATACTCATAAACCACCACAGACACCATAGTAGTTGACACACAATCATTCCTAGCAATATGGCAGAGCCAAGGGCCATCCCCTTTCTCCTACAACTTCTCGTCGCCTAGGTCACCGACTACTACACCATTTTTTACGAAACTGTGTCAAAGTCGTTTGTCGGCATGATTGAGGCTGGAGTCATTGAAGTCCACGACGAGTCGGCCTCATCACTTGGGGATGACACCGGGGATAAGCGCCGTCACCGTGCCAGAGTATGGCGGCAAAACTTTGCCCTGTGGGTAGAAGACATGCAACATATGCGGGAGAACGACTTTCAGGATATCTTCCGAATCAACAGAGCCATCCTTGACCACATAAAGACAGGCATGCGCCACTGCCTAGAACCGGTTGTCGAGCGGACAAGAATAACGATGGACACCGCACTACTCGTTGCGATCAAATATTTGGCGAGTGGAATCTCCTACGTCGACATGTCATACCTGTTTGGTGTCTCCAAAACCCTCTGCCATGAGCTTGTCGACATCTTCCTCACCGAGTTCCCTGCCGTATTCAAGGCCGCCTGGGTGCGCTTCCCGACCCGTGATGAACTCCTGGAGATGGCACATGAGTTCGAAGCCATAAAAGGGGTACCTGCTGTTGTTGGAGCTATAGACGGGACTCACATCCACATGAAGGGGATGGAGGGGCACCGGACAGAATATTGGACAAGAAAGTCAGCATATGCTGTGCAGTTGCAGATCACGTGTGATGCTCGGGGCATAATCTAGGACTATCTCATTGGGTATCCCAGCAGTGCTCACGACCAGCGTGTGTTCAAAAACAGTGCACTACTGGAACGGTTACAACGAGGGGACATAGCCCCGTACCAAATTGTTGGGGATGCGGCATACCCCCTCAGAGATTACGGCCTAACCTCCTTACATGCCCCGCATGGAGAAGATCTAATGGAAGACTGGGCCCAGTGTTTCAACTACTGCCAGAGCGCTACCCGAATGGCTGTAGAACGGTGCATCGGAGCCTTCAAAGGTCGATGGCGCCTATTCGCCGGGCGCAACGATTGCAAGTTATGGCGAGTGCTCGCTGCCTCCGCCTGTTGCGTCATCTTGCACAACATGTGCAAGAACATGGCGGGTGTAAGGCGTACAAACATGGCATGGTTCAATCTGCCACGCAACCGGGATCCATGGTGGACTAGGGGAGCCATTTCTGAACATAAGCGGGAACCATGCATTCCATGCACGCAGCCGGCACTAAGGGAACGGCGGAGAAGGTTAGGTGAGGCGCTACAGGAGTCTTACGACAATCGTCGTCACCGCGCACCCATATCTCCACATCGTCATCTCCAGGAATGACGGTGTTGACGTCGCCACTATCGTCGCGGAACGGGCCCGCATCTTCACCGTCAAGGTCTGGCGCGCGACGATCGAGAGGAGGTGCAGATGCAGCGCGAGGCGGAGGTGGTCTGTCGTTGACCGTTCCATGCTGCACGTGAGGAGGTGCTGAATCGGACATGCGCTTGCGGGCAAGGCGCAAATCCTGCTGCTTCCATTCGCGCCCGAGTCCCTCAATCCGATTCATTGCGTCTCCGTGGCAGTCTTTGATGGTTGCTGAGACTAGCATTGCGGCTTGCATGGTCGCCGTCTCATGGACACGAGCGCGCTTAGTTGTAGGAGTGGTTTGCTCCGGCGGTGCTGTAACAGGGTAGAAAATAGAGATTGTATGATGTGCGGGTAGTGCATATAACGTTGTAGTGCATGTCCCAATCCGCCGCGACAAAACGAGAGAGCATCATTTACGTAATATATGTTAACATGGGTAAAATGACGTCACCTGTAAATGTCGGCTTTGAAGTGCCGGGCTGAGAGGAGGTCGGAACCTCCATGCCGGCCGGCATGTTGACATTTGTTGCGCCACCGCCGTCTACCGCATGCGGTTCGCCAGCATCGGTGTCCTTGTTGAAAAGCTCCATGTACGGCCACCACGGAGGTTTCTCCACGGAGCCATTTCCTGACCCCGTATCGCACCGCTTGTACTCCTTCCAAAGTAGCATCAAAGTTTCGCCACTGCTTCTGCAACGCGTTGATCCCCCGGATCCAATCCGGGTTCGACTCCTTGATATGCGCAAGAAGGCGCGCCCAATATTGCGTGCTTTGCTTCCCCTTGAGCGGCTGAAACTCGTCTTTAGTGAACCACCGGGCGGCTACGAAGATGGTGCTCTCGCGGTCCGACCACATACTCTTCTCGCTTGGTGCAGTAGCCCGCTTCTTTCGAGGCTCATGTCGGGGTTCTTCAGCAGTCACTTTGCCCTTCCGCTTGTCAGCGCCAGATGCGCGATTGGCGTTCCGTTTCGTCGGCGGTGTCACGGGTTGCACTTCCTCTTCCGCGACATCGTCGCCTTCTTTGTCATCTGACATTCCGAGGTCTTTTGGCTCGTCGTCCTCGTCGTCATTGCCGACGGCGTCGCCGCGGTACTCTGAGTCGGACTCGTCTTCATCCGGCTCCGCGACGGGCCGAACCGGGGCGGCGGTCCTGATAGGCTGACGGCGCACGCGCGACGGCCCTGCGCGGGGCGACTGTGCACTAGAACCCTGCGCGTCTGGCGGTCCCGGGGCTGATAAATCGGTGGGATGACGGCCGTTAGCAATCTGCGCGTTCATCCATCGGATATATGGGATTTCGTTGAGGTCTTTGGGGCAGTCGTCTCGGGCCTGGCCCTTACGCTTCCTAGGCATGGCGGCGGGAGTTGATTTCTAGATCTAGATGAGAAGCACAATGACAAATTGAAAGGATGGAGGTTTGAAACAGGAGAGAAGTGGGACATCACGGGGTCCGTGATGGTGGCGGAAGAGAAGGAAAGGTTGGGGAAAGTGTATTGGGTCACGGCGAGAGATATGCGGGCAGGACATGCGCGTGTCTGTCAATAAGTGCGAGGGAGCCCTGATTGACCAATCATGCTTTAGTGTACGCGTTGGATGGGAAAATACGAACAGTAAAATCATGAACAGGTACATGCAGAGGGGATAGACATTTGGAACCGCGTGCGATGGCAGGTCCTTGTCGCGCTGGCGTTCAATTAGCCCGCGACAGTTCCGTGGTTCACGCCAGCCAATCGAAATAACGTTTTGCGACTTTGCTGCGCAGTCCGGAATTCCGACGCATGGCAGCATATGCTGTAAGTACGCGTCAGAATCGATTGCGACACTTTCTTAAGGGACATGTCCTGAGCGGAATGTGCCCTAACCCTAATTGGGTTGTACCCCTTATGGGCTACCCCACTACAGTCTACACAATATAGACATTATAACAGTTTGACACCCTCTTGCCACGTGCGTCCCATCCCAACACATCCCTCCTGTCGCCTCCCTCCCAACTTGTCACTCGCCTGTCAGCAAGCACACCGTCAGTGCCGCACCACCGCCTCCGTCATAAGCTTCGGACAAAATAGAGTTAAATCACGTTCGACAAGTGTTTTAGTTAAATCAGACTAAGCAAAATATATCGTTTGAAAAATCAGACACAGCTCCAACTTTCATCTGAAAAATCAGACAGAAAAATTTGCCCGTCTGAACGTCAGACGAAACGATTTTTTCATTTATATTTTCAGACGGGCCTAAATCCTAGCAAGAGCCCTGATGCTCAACCCCTGTGCGCGAATTTGCCCTGCCCCGGATGGAAAGTCTGCACCCGTGTTTTTTTTACCAGCCAGTTGCACCCACATTACAAGCCCCTCGAGCAAGTTGCAGTGGTTATGAACCAATACGAACCACAGAAACCGAAGTCAAACAGAAGAGACCGAAGTCAAACTGTCAACAGGGAGTTACAATTTTTTTATAAGCCCTTTTTTGCTAGGTGCGATGTTGACGGAATTTGCGAAATGCCGAGAATCACTTAAAAGCCCCCTTCACAAGGCAACCTTGGGTTAGTCAAACGAGCATCGTGTGTATACGAATAGATAGCTCACAGCAAAGTTATACCACACCTAGTCATGACCACCCACTCCCCTATACACAAAATCTACTGGAGTAACCACATCACCAGCGCCCTCACATACAATGTATGGGCTGCTTATTCTCTCACTTGCAGCCCACAACACAGTACTGAGCATTCCCCTCAGGGTACTTGCAGCCTCCAGTCTCAGGAGGCAGAGCCGGCACCACCACAGCCGTCCCTCCAAAGAAGCAGGTCCCAGGCGCGTGCGCGCGCTGCTGATAATACTTATTAAACGCGTAAGACGCATGCGCGGCGAGTGTACTCGGCTCGTAACACGCGCCGCCGGGCTGGATGGCGGAGCAGTCAGCGCCACCGGCGCCACAGGCCCATGAAAGGGCTGCCTGCACCGCCCCTTGATCCATGACGCAGGTTGAGGGAGGGGCAGGGGTGGTTGCGCCGTCAGGAGGACTATCAGGAGGAGGAGGAGGGGTGGTGGCGCCATCAGGCGGGGGAATGGGGGTGGTAGAGCCGTCAGGCGGGGGGACGGGGGTGGTTGGGCCGCCAGGAGGAAAAACGGGGGTGGTAGAGCCGTCAGAGGGAGCACGAACAACGTTTCCATCAGTGGGAGGAGCAGGGGTAGGAGGAACATCAGGGGGCAGTGTGGGAACAGACGGAACGCCAGAGGGAGGAGGGGTAGTGGGACCGCCACGCACGTGCGGTGGCTTTGGAACGGGAATATCAGCTGCTGCAGGAGGAGGCGAGCCGTTGGGTGGATGAGGACTCATCGGAGGTTGGGGGCCGTTAGATGGATGGCCAGGGGGCGTGGGGAGTGGACGGTCGGGAGACCCGCGGGACGGGGGAGGGGAGGCGGAGCCCTGATGGGGGGCTTCAGGGGGGTTGACGGGAGCATCCGTTGAATCGTCCATTAATGGGGGAGGGGACGCTGAGCCCTCGTCTGGGAAGAGAGGAACAACGGAATCGCCCGCTCCTGCTGATGTCACACTGACAGTCGTGCTGCTGCTGGAACTCGCGCTACTACTGGCGCTGCTGCTGCTGCTGCTGCTACCGTCGTCTGCGCTCGTTGTCGTCAGACTGCTGTATTGCGCCTCGCCGCCCTCGCCTTCCTCATCCGTGCTGCCGCTGGTATCAGTGGAGCCAATCCAGCCGTACCCAGGGTACGGATTCCCCCATCCGCTCCCGCTCGATCCCCCGTTACCAGAGCCGTCGCTCGAACCGTCGTTTGACCAGTCGCTCGACCCCTCGCCGCCCCCGCCACTGCCGTCGTCCGTCCAGCTACCGTCGCCGCCGCTGCTTCCGTCGTCGCTCCAGCCATTCCCGGGGTCCGCGCCGCTGATCGTATCCGGTTCCTCAGACGAGTCCCACCCCCACTTGCTCCATAGATCGTCCCAGAACCCGCCGCCATCGCCGCCGCTTTCCTCGCCGCTGCCGCCGTCACTGAAATCGCTTGTTAATGGCTCGTCTTCCCAGCTCGAGCCGTCCGAGCTTTCATCGCCGCCTTCCCCGCCGCTTTCCTCGCCGCCAACATCGGAGTCTGTTGAAGTCGAGTCGTCTGTTGGAACCCAGTCGCCCATAAAGGGCTCCGTGCCCGTATCCTTTGAGCCGATGTAGCCCGATTGAGGCCTGGGAGGCTCCCACGCGCCGCTCGAGTAGTCTTCACCGTTCGATCCGCCGCTGTCGCCGCTATCTTCTTCCTCGTAAAAGTAGTCGCTCGCTAGAACTCGTCGCGTGCGACTTGTCGTCGGGGCGTTACTACTAGGCACTTCGCTAACATCGCCGAAGGTGCCTCCGATCGCTGTGTTAGTTGTCGCGAGATCTCTTCGCGGACGAGCAGGCAGATAGTTGAGCCCCACCACCACCGCCGGCGGCGAATCCCACGATTCTGGCGTTGCGGCCTTTAAAACGCGCGACGCGTGGGTGGTCGGTGCGACGGTCCAAACGACGGCGAGGAGAAGGAAAGGAATCGCAAAGTTCTTCATCAGGATTTGGTGGTGTGTGAGTCAAGTTCAACCAGTGGTAACGGGTGCTACTGGTAATAAAATAAGGTTTCGGTCGCTGCTTCTACTAGTGGCGGTAGAAGTCGAATAGGACCCGACAAGATGCTTCAGGAGCTAAACAATAATTCATGAGCCGGAAATCCGCTTTTGGGTATGAGGATTCGGAATGGTGATGCTCATATGTCAACGATGCTCATATGTCAAGGAAACAGAGTCTAAAATGATGGAAATGGAGTTCCGCTCGAGGCGTTTTGTATTACGATCTTGGGATTATGGCGTGGGTATAAAAGTTTGGGAGGAGGGGGAGAAATGAGCAGGGGAAGAGGGAGAGGTGGCGGGGGACGAGGGACGAGTGGGGGGAAAGGGAAGAGGGGCAGGGGGGTGAGGATTGAGGGAGAGGGGGGGATGAGGAGGGGAGGAGCAGCTGGCAGGGATTAGATGAGAGAGGAAGACAGAACGACAATTGCTTGTTGCTGTGCTGACAGCAAGGCGAATTCCTCTCTATGCGATGATGTGGAATTGCGCGACGCGCAAGGCCGATTTCTTGCGACAACGAGGAGTTCTAGAGAACGCCGATTGAACTCGTCCAGCAGAGCAGGGAGTAGCAGGGGTATAGGCCGGGTTGACCGAGAGGACTTCGAAGTCCTCCGTGTCTTCCTCGTCCGCCGTGTCGCAATTTGGCGGATGCAAGCGTGGCAGGTTTGAGGTGAGGTGGATGACCAGGATTCCACATGTCAGCTTTCCTTACCTCGCTGGTGTATGCGCCGATACGAGGTAGGCAAACCTAATGTGAAGTTCAAGGATACGATGAACATGTTTTGTTTCTTGTTGCTTCTTTGTGGCGGTATCCGTTAGAGGTGTTTCCTCCATGCTAGTGTTTCTGCTTCGATTCCCGATTCACACATATGAAGATAATAACAAATTTCAAAACAAATTTGAAGACTCATCTCGAAGTTGTCGTGTGACCTCGAGTTCGCTGTTCTCTCGTGTCATGAAGTTCATAGAACCTCGGCTCGGCAGCACTTGATACAGGTGCTGAGACGTTCACAACCCTCCCACGACCCGCGTCTCAGTAATCATGCTTATCTGCCTCTGCGCCTGACCAGCATTCGCAACTGATTAGGAAAACATCATTAATAAGTTAGGGCAACGGGCAGGTAGGACTACGATAAGCTTACAGGCAGGCAGGATCCAGGACTGGGTAACAGGAGGCACCTCAAGACAGGCGAAAAAACGAGATTGGCGTTAGGGTAACAGGCGAAATCGTCTATGGCTTTCGCACAGAACCCGCTGTCGCTTGCGTTCCCGCCAGAACAAGTCCACGCGTTACTTCAGGACCAGGCGCTCCGGCGAACTCAGGGGGACGATGTCGATTCGTTAGATCCAACGGGCGACATTAACAGATGGAGAGGAGGTCGCGAAGGCTCGTCCGGTGCTGGAAACGCGCCTCCCTATAACGGATCTCGGCGATCCGTTGCAGCAGCGCCGTCCAGTCGTATATCGATGCTAACTATAGAGGATCTAAAAAAACCGCCTCTACCGTGGACGGATTTATTTTTCGGCTGGAGTCAATTACGGTCGGCGTACTCCTTTCCGGGCAGCTGGAGAGAAATGGGGAGGCGTGTGGACGCAAATTTCGTGGAGTTTCTGGGAAATTACCTCCGGGTTCTTCTATTCTTCCTCGTGTGCGTCATGTACGTGTCTCCGTTCTCTACCCGATCCGCCTAACTGTCAATATTAATCGCATATCCTCCTCTCCGCGTGCTTCCCATCCCTCTTTTTCTCTGGCCTGCTTCCCCCATATTCCTGGATTGTACCCTCGTTACCTGCTTGTTTCCCCGTAACCCCTACCCTGCATTGTCTCACTCTCCGGTCGGCCCTCCACACCACCTTCCACCTCCATCCCATCCTCCATCCCCGCCTCCATTCCCTCCCCATCCCCCTCACTCGAGCTGCAGCTTTCCAGGGTTACATTCTCCTCCCTCCACCCGTCCATCCATCCGTTTATCCGTCCATCCGTCCATCCGTCCGCGCTTTCTCACTCCTCTGCAGGTACAAGGACCCAGTGGCGTGTGCCGGGCTGGCAGCGCTGCTGCGGCTGTGGCACGAGCTGTGGGTTCCTTGACTCGCTCCCCCCCTCTTTCCATGCTTCCCCTGCAGGTACAAGCGGCCAGTGGCGTGTGCGGGGCTGGCCGCCCTGGTGCGGCTGTGGCAGGAACTGCAAGGTCTCAGGTTTCCATTCTCTCCCGTCCTTCCTCTCTCTGCAGGTACAAGCGGCCAGTGGCGTGTGCGGGGCTGGCAGCACTGGTGCGGCTGTGGCACTAGCTGTGGGTTCCTTGACTCGCTCCCCCCCTCTTTCCATGCTTCCCCTGCAGGTACAAGCGGCCAGTGGCGTGTGCGGGGCTGGCCGCCCTGGTGCGGCTGTGGCAGGAACTGCAAGGTCTCAGGTTTCCATTCTCTCCCGTCCTTCCTCTCTCTGCAGGTACAAGCGGCCAGTGGCGTGTGCGGGGCTGGCAGCACTGGTGCGGCTGTGGCAGGAACACCGCCGCTCCCCCGCTCCCTTCCCCTTGTGGCCGTGCAGTTGCCACTGGCGGGTGGGAGGGAAGGCGGGAGGAATGCTGCCATGAGGAAGAGTATCTGGGGTGGGGTCGGCCTCTCAAGGTGAGCCTCTTCTCGCCACCCTCTCTTGCTGCTGCAGATTATTCCCGTTTTATGTCTTTCCGCATCGCGCATTGTTGAGCATGCTTTGTTCTCCCCTCTCCGCTGCTCCGCCTTCTCACCAAAGTCCTCTCCTCCGCCTGCTTTCTCTCCCTCTCTGCCCTGATCATCCCAGCATATTGCGCACACAGGAGCGGCAGTGGTGGGGACAAGGAGTGCACAGGCAGCTGCTCTCCACTCAACCCACCCACAGCTAAGTACCCGCCCTGCCTCTTCCCTCCCAACCCTTGCACTTGTCTTGCTTTTCATGTCTTGCTTGCACCATGCATCGAACTCCCTTCCTTACTGCCCTCTGTCACACTCAAGAGACCTCCCTCCCTCAAGGTAGCAGGTTCAAAACTTTGGTACAGCCTCAGGTATAGGGTTCTGTCTGGTTCAGCCGGTACGAGGTCTTTTGAGTGTGCCACTGTTGCAGTCTATTCACTGTTGCAGTCTATTCACGCATGCATCATCCTCACACTTTCTCCACTCTTCATTATCACTTCACTCACTTGACTTCCTCCCCTTTTCCGTCCCCACTTCTCTGCTCCCCCTCCTCCCTTCTCTCTGTCCTGATCTTCCTCCTTACCCAGCAGGTCGCTCACACGGGAGTGGAGTGGCGGGGGACCTGAAGTGCACAGGCAGCAGCTGCTCTCCACCCAACCCACCCACAGTTAATTCTCTGCCCTGCTTTTCTTCTTCCAATCCTGTCTCTTGTTCCATGTTGATCCTTGTTGCCACGCTTGTTTCTTGATTCCTCAAACGTGAGCCTCTGGTCGTGCCACAGCTTAAAGCCACAGACCCCCTTTTTTCTCAGGTACACCACCCCAGGTTCACAAGGTATCCATTCAGGTTAAGCCTCTCTTGGTATATACCCCCCTTGGGTCTGTGGCTTGTAGCTGAGGCTGCACCAGTGGCCTTCTTTCTTGCTCTCACCTTCCATTGCCCTCACTTTTGTCTCCCTAGCCGCATACTCACTTCTCTTCAGTTTCCTCCTTGCCGGTTGAGGGGAGGGGCGTGGGGGTCAACACCGCCACTCCCCCGCGCCTCTCCCCTTGTGGCCTTGCAGGTGCTGCTGGGGCTGCGAGGGAGGCAGCGACAAGAGCTGAGGGCTACCATGAGGGAGAGTATCGGGAGGGGGTCGGCCTTCACTGGTAAGCCCTTCTGCTCTTCCTCACTCCCTGTAATTCACTTTCCTCTGCAGTTTCTGTTTCCGAACGTTGCTCACCCCTCTCCACTCGTTTCTCTTCCCCTCCATACCTCCCCCTACTCTCCCTGCAGCATCACCAGCCACTTCGCTCCTGCAGCAGAAGGGTGAGTTGCTTCCTCACTCATTCTCTCTCCACCCACCGCTCCAGTTTCAGCTCCCATTTCTCATTCTTGCACCCTTTTTCCACTGGGATGCTTGCTGCATTTCCTATTTCGAGTCCCTTCAAACGTGAGCTTCTGGCCGTGCCACAGCTTCTAGCCACAGACCCCCTTTTTTTAGGTAAACCACCCCAGGTACAGAAGGTATTATCTCAGGTTAAGCTTCCCTAGGTATATACCCCCTTGGGTATGTGGCTTGTAGGTGTGGCTGCACCAGTGGCCCCCTTCTCTTCAGTTTCCTGAAGAATGGAAGGGAGTGATAGGAATCGAGAACCTTAATGAGGGTGATTTTTTCTCAAGGTACAGAAGTGGGTTGGGATCAGGGCTGACTTTATCAGACTAAAATAGTCTGATTGTCTGAAATCTCAGGGTATTTTCCTACGGATCCTGATTTTTCAGACTTGTAAGATTTTCAAACATGAGTGCCTTAGACTTACTTGGTTTTGGATCCTGAGATTTTCAGAGTACTGACTTAGCCGATAATGGGTCTTCATACTACAGGGAGTACGGATCCTGAAATGTGGATCTGTGATTTCTACGTACATTCCGCTACGTCATATGTTGCCAGTGTACGAACACACTTCATGGCGCTGTCACGCGCAGAATCTGTCCTTGGCAACTTTTGCCACCCTTTTCCCTTAGAAATCTGCCAACTTGGCTCACTCTTCCACTCACGCGGGACCATCACTGCAGCTACGCGGTGTCAGCGAGGGAAACTGGTTAGCGTTGCGCCCCACGTGCTACATTTGTGGCAGTACTGTACTGCAGTGGTTGTAGTGTGTTCTGAGTACTTCAGACTTGTGTTTTTGCGGAACCTGAAAAATCAGAGTGGCCATTCTCTGGGAAATATGCCTCAGACTAAAAATTTTCAGAGCCCCCAGAACATCAGACTGGATTTTTTTGAATAGTCAGCCCTGGTTGGGATGGGAAGTCATGCTAGTGTAATCAAGGGACAGGGTAAACCCACTTGTCCTGGGGATTCCAGCCACCCTCCTGGTGGTGTGACTGTGTTATAGGGTGATTTGAACAAGCGTCACGCCAGGCACTCGTGCCACTTTGGCAACCGAAGCATGGGTGCCACTGCTTGCATCAGTAGATCAAACAGATGGATAAACAGGGGTGTGTTATCGCCCTTAGCGAAGCGTGTGATGTGTAGTAAAAAGCTTGCTGAAGTTTACTGCTAGATTTTGTTGACATTGATGGATGGATAAATGTAGTATTTTGTACCAGTACATTTTGCAGAGAAATGGCATTTTTTTTGGAATCACGTCTTATGATGACCTCATTAGCCAAACTGTATGTATCTTCAGTTGCAAGAGAATGGAAAGGGCATTATTTTCCATCGGCAATGTTTGACGTATGCATATGAGTATCAAATACACAGATTGTTATCGCGATTATGCGATTTTCCAGCCAGCTATGATTCTACCGAACCCTGAATCCTGAGCCTTTCAAAACCCTGGAGCCATCCTTACTATCCTCCTCTTTCGCCCTTAGCTTCCTCAATGCAAGTTTTCTTTGTCTCGAGTTCGCGTTCTTCCTACCGCTGCGCGTGCTGTAGCCCGTAAACCGAAGCGCCTCCTCTAGCCGCGCACCATGCTTAAGAAGAAGAGAGTAAGTCGGCGTGTAAGCTTTTGGGTTGCTGTGTGTTGCCACGGAGTCATGTCAGTTCTGTGGAAGAATCATCTTTCTTTTCCTGGGCCACGTGGTCTTCGTCTCCGTTGCTTTTAAAGACATCGCATAACCGCTTTGAGCGAGCTCTACAGCCTTCGTCTCCTCGTGCTGATTTTTATTTTTTCCAATTGGTTGTCCGCGGAGCAGGGGAAGGAGGGCAATGCGGCCAAGTACACGACGCGCAATCAGGCGCTCGTGCGCCTGCAGCTCAAGCTAGCCGACTTCAGGTGCGTCGAATTGTAGTTCTTGAGGAGTTTCAGGTCTCTTCAATTGGGTGTCGGGTTTTTGCGTTTGAGGATTTTGAGGTTACATACATCTGAGTCGTCTCACAAGTCAGATGATAAGGGTAACTCATACATCGAAGCAGAGCAATCCGAATTTTAGGTGCGTTAGGGTTTTGATGCGTTTCGGGGGATAGCGAACCTCTGGTTCCAACTCAAGTGATTCAGTGCGTCGATCTGCGATCATCTCAGCGCTTACTCAAATGCCTTCCCTGTTACCCGCGCACCCGCCGCTGCCTTATGACTTGCGGCCGCATAACTTTCCACCCCACACTCATCTCCCGTGGCCCCCGCACCCGCCGGCAGGCGGCTGTGCATCCTGAAGGGCATTCACCCGCGCGAGCCGAAGAAGAAGACCAAGGGCGCGCACAAGACGTACTACCATGTCAAGGATATCAACTTCCTCGCGCACGAGCCGCTCCTCGAGCTGCAGAGGTGGGCTTTTCATATCCATATTGTTTAGCCCCGTCTTCGTAAATCCCCATCTTTCAGCACGGATTGGTACCTTCTCTAGTGCGCTCCTGCTTTCAAACACTAGGTGGCTCAATCATCCAACCGAATTTGCTTCTCTTAATCTCGCCGACTGTTTCAAAAGCGTGCTGGTAATCCGGTTACTTGCGACTTCCAAATTTTGTGTTCCCTTGAACCTTGCGTCCAGTAGAGATCTTCTCAAACCTCTCAAGATATCCCTCATCCCACTCCACATCGTGCTTGCGCTTGCAGGGAGGTGCGCGCGCAGCGGAAGAAGATCCGCAATGCCAAGGGGCGGCTGGAGACAGAGAAGGTGGAGCGCCTGGAACGATGTTCTGTAGGCCTCTCAAAGATATCCCCCAAACCGTGCCCCATCTCAAACCGTGTCCTCTCTCAACCCATTCCCCATCTCAACCTCAACTCGTGCCTCATCTCGCGACCGCTTGCAGGGAGCTACGCGCGCAGAGGAAGAAGATCCGCAAGGCCAAGGGGCGGCTGGAGACAGAGAAGGTGGAGCGGCTGGAGCGTAGCATGCCCCGCGTGTCGCTGGACCACCTCGTGAAAGAGAGGTGCGTGCTGCTGCCAGTGCGTGCGAGTGGCGAGTGATTCGTGAGTCTAATTTAGAGTCATCTTGTTTGCGTTGACTTGAAGGTGGAGCGGCTGGAGCGCAGCCTGCCACGTGTGTCGCTGGACCACCTCGTTAAAGAGAGGTGCGAACGTGTGGCCAGTGACTGTAGCGAGGGTGACTAACTAGGAGGTGCGTGGTGCTGCCAGTTCGGAACTCATCGTGTGGTACGTCTTTGCCACGCTGTCATTCTCTCTCCCGTTCCCTCTCCGCCTCTTTCTCTCCCGTCTCCCCTTTCTCCTGAGCCCCAGGTACCCATCGTTCATCGATGCCCTGATCATGCTGCACCTCTTCTCTCTCTCTCCCCCTCTCCCCCCACTCTCCCCCAACCCCAGGTACCCATCGTTCATCGACGCAATCAGGGATCTGGACGACGCCTTGACCATGCTGCACCTCTTCGCCACGCTGCCCGCCGATGCCACCTTCCGCATCCCCGCCACTCGTGTTAACAACGCCCGCAGGTGAGGAGAGGGAGGGGAGACGGGGGAGGGGAGACGGGGGAGGGGAGACGGGGGATGGGGGATGAGGGTTCTGGGGTTCGGGGTTTGGGGGCGGGAAGGGGGTGACTTTTCAAGCTGCCACGCTGCCTGCCACTGGCACCTTCCGCATCCCTGCCACTCGTGTTAGCAACGCCCGCAGGTGAGGAGAGGAGGGAGGGGAGGAGTAAATGTCTCCGAGCTGACTTAGCAGTGCATCTGGTGCTCATTCCCACATACACCGTTACCACATTCACGGCCATACCCGCACCCCTCTCCCCCCCCATACTTCACACCCCACACCCACAGTCTGTCTCTGGAGTGGCAAGCATACATAGCACGCACTCACTCCCTGCGCAAGGAGTTTGTGTCGGTCAAGGGCATCTACTACCAGGCGCACGTGGTGGGACAGCCGCATGTACCCACACCCTTACTCCACCCGCACCCATCCAACCCTCTCTCTCCCTCCCCCCCCCATACTTCACACCCCACACCTGCAGGCTCTCTCTGGAGTGGCAGGCGTACATAACACGCACACACGCGCTGCCCAAGGAGTTTGTGTCTGTCAAGGGCATCTACTACCAGGCGCACGTGGTGGAGGGCAGCTCACTGTGCCCATACACATACCCTATACCCCATACCACCCCGTCCCACTTATGAGTGCCTATCCCCATAATCCATGCTGCCCATACCCGCCACACCCGCAGACTTTCCTTAGAGTGGCAGGCGTACATCACGCGCACACACGCCCTGCGCAAGGTGTTTGTGTCTGTCAAGGGCATCTACTACCAGGCGCACGGTGGGGCAGCCGGTGACGTGGCTGGTGCCACATCAGCTCATGCAGGTCATGCCCACTGACGTGGACTTCCGAGTGATGCTCACCTTCCTCGAGTTTTATGAGGTCAGTTTGTGATGGGGCGGGGAGGGGGGAGGAAGATTAGTGTGAGCTGAGGATGTTGAGTGCAAGGGAGCAGCAGGTCATGCACTGACGTGGACTTCCGAGTCATGCTCACCTTTCTCGAGTTTTATGAGGTCAGTTGGGGGAGTGGGTGGGGTGGGGTGGCTGTGCTTGGGGGAAGTTAGGGGTGAGGGCAGGGGAGCATCAGCTAATGCACTGCAGGGCATACCCACCGACGTGGACTTCCGAGTGATGCTCACCTTCCTCGCATTCTACGAGGTCAGTTGGGGGAGGGGGTTGATGCTGGTTTTGTGCTGGGGTAGATAGAAGAGGGTGGGTGGTGTGAGTCGGGAGAGGTTGTGTGGAGTGGGGAAGGGTGTGATGTGGGATTCACTCAAAGAGAGTCGACTTACCATTTCAACCCACACGCCCCCCCCACCCACCCTCTTCCCACCCACACCTTCTCCTCTCCTCTCCTCTCCTCTCCTCTCCTCTCCCACATCCCCCCCCCCCACCAGACCCTAATGGGCTTCGTGAATTTCAAGCTGTACCACGAGCTGCGACTGGCATACCCTCCGCGCCTCGACCCGCGCCTCGAGAAGGCTGCAGCAGGTGCACTTGCTTCCCTTGCTCCCTCTCTGCTTCCCGTGCTCCCTCTCTGGTTCCCGTGCTCCCTCTCTGCTTCCCGTGCTCCCTCTCTGTTTCCCTTGCTCCCTCTCTGCTTCCCATGCTCCCTCTCTGCTTCCCTTGCTCCCTCTCTGCTTCCTTCCTCCCACTCTGGTTCCTTCCTTCACACTTTCCTCACGGATTTAACAACCTCCAAGAATGGTGTGTTCCTGCTACTAGCTCAAGCTGCTAACTGCCTCGCCATGTGCTCCCTTTATCTGACTCCCTAAAGAGGGTTGCTCCTTCCGATAACGTTGTGTCTTTTCAATGGTTCTTTACTTTTCGTCTCGTGCTGCTGCCATCCATCCGTTGCAACCACCTCCACCCCATCAGACCACACCGCTTTGCCTCAAAGCGTGATGCTTGTGCCATCCTCCCCGTCGCCCCACCCGCTCCCCTGTCTTTTGCCATCAGACCTGCACACTGTGATGCGCAAGCAAGCTAGCAGAGGCGGCAGCAGCAGGCCGAACTTCTTTTGAGGCGCCTCAAAAGGCGGCAGCAGCAGGCCGCACTTCTCTGCCTTTAAGTTTGGTGCTTCTGCCACATGCAGCCCCAAGTTTGCCATCTTTTTCTCTCCCCCACCACCCCTCCTCTCCCCTCCCTCCCACCCCCACCCCATCAGACCTGTATGCGGTGATGCGCAAGCTAGCAGAGGCGGCAGCAGCAGCGAGGCACAAGCGAGAAAGAAAGGCTTTCAAGGCAGCTGCTGCTGCTTCGGCCGCTCTTCTCGGTGCTGCTCCTGCTGATGCTGATGCTGCTGCTGATGCTGGTGATGATGATGCTGCTGCGTTGGAAGGGAGCGCTGAGAAGAGCACAGATGAGGGAGGAGAGGAGGGGAAGGCAGAGGGAGAGGCAGACGGTGCTGCTGCAGCAGCAGCAGCAGCGGATCCAGCAGCAGGAGAAGGAGAGGGCGCCGCCGCCGCAGCAGCAGCAGGACCCCCAGTGGATCCCGAAAAAGAAGCATCGGAGAAGCTTCCGTTGCTGGGCAAGCAAGCAACAGCGTCGCGAATGGCATCCCTGCAGAGCCGACTAGCAGCCATGACAGCAGCAGCAGAGGCGAACCCCAATGAGGAGGAAGAGAAAGCAGAGGGTGGCGCGGGGAGAAAAGGCGCGGGCGGAGCAGAAGCAGAGGAGGAGGAGGAGGAAGGGGATGAGGATGATGAGGAGACGAGGGCGTGTCGGCGGTTGTTCAAAGGGCTTGTGTTCTTTCTCGGCCGGGAGGTGCCCAGGGAGCCGCTGCTGTTTGTGATCCGCGCGTTTGGAGGCAAGGCAAGCTGGGAGGGCGAGGGGGCACCAGCTCCTGAGACTGACGAAGCCATCACTCACCAGGTGGGCCGCTCTTTTGAGGTATATCGGTTGGGGGGGCGAGCTGGAGGGCAGGGCGTTCGGGGGCAGGGCAAGCTGGGAGGGGGAGCTGGGTGCGCCGGCTCCTGAGACTGATGAAGCCACACCAGGTGGGCACTACTTGTGAGGTGCCCCAAACGTGAGACAGTTGTTTTTCGACGCCTAGAGATCGTCTCGCCTGAAAATTCGCTGGCCCCCGAGAGTGACGAAGCCATTATGCACCAGGGGGGCAGTCCCTGAGCAGCAGTCTACCAGGTGGTCTCATGTTCTTTGTCTGAGAGTGATGTCTCCCTTGTGCAGCAGGGGGGCAGTCCCTGAATAATTGCATTGCAACTCACTTATGCTGACTCCTTCCTCACCCACTTCCTTCCTCTCTCCTCTCCTCCGTCCTCCCTCCTCCTTCCCCCACCACCACGCCATCAGATGGTGGATCGGCCGCAACAGAGGCACCACAATCTCTCCTTCTACTCACTTCATTCCCTCTCCTTCTCCCCTCCCTCCTCACTCCTCCCTCACCCCCCCACTGCCACGCCATCAGGTGGTGGACCGGCCGCAGCAGAAGCACCGCAATCTCTCACGGGACTACGTGCAGCCACAGTGGGTGTTTGACTGCTCAAGGCATCTCCTCTCTCCTCTTTCTTTCCTCCCTCCTCCCTCTCCCCGTACCCTTCTCCTCCCCCCTTAACCCACGCCATCAGGTGGTGGACCGGCCGCAGCAGAAGCACCGCAATCTCTCACGGGACTACGTGCAGCCCCAGTGGGTGTTTGACTGTGCCAATGCCCGCATCCTCCTACCCTCCGCGCCCTACGCCCCCGGCCTGTGAGTGTGTGTGCCCTGCCCGCTGACACCCTTCTTCTAAGTCAACTCAAACACCCCTCCCCCGCCTCCCCCCTTCGACTGTGCCAATGCGCGCATCCTCCCACCCTCCTCGCCCTACGCCCCCGGCCTGTGAGTGTTGCCCCTCCGCACTGCAAGCACCCACCCCTTCCTGACCGCACTCCATTTCACAAGCATTTCTGAAGCGTGCTAAGTATCCCCCTCCCGCTCCACCTCATCCTTTAACCCCATGTGCGGTGTGCCACCGCCCCACCTCTCCCCATTCGTGAACCACGAGGAGGAGGGCTATCTACCCAACTATCATACTTTAAGCATGCTAACTGCCCCCTTCTTCAACCCCACCCCTTCCCCCTCCACCCCCTTCAATCCCACGAGCAGTGTGCCGCCGCCGCACCTCTCCCCCTTCGTGAACCACGAGGAGGAGGGCTACCTGCCCGAATATCATTTCTGAAGCGTGCTAACTACCCCCCCCCCCTCCCCCCCCACCCCCGCGCCTCCTCTTCCCCCCTCCCCTGCCCCCACTCTCCACTCCCTTCTTGAATCCCACGAGCAGTGTACCACCGCCACATCTCTCCCCATTCGTGAACCACGAGAAGGGCTACCTGCCCGACTATGCCCATGTGACTCGTCACTCACTCCATCCGACACTCGTATCTAAAATGCGTGCAAGTATCCCCTCCCCCCCCCTCTTCCCCCAGCGTCCCACCGCCGCACCTCTCCCCATTCGTGAACCACGAGGAGGAGGGCTACCTGCCCGACTATGCCGCGGCGATCCAACGGCTGAAAGAGGCCTCAGCAGCGCGAGATGCTGCACAGCACAAGGGGGCGGCAGGGGGCATGCTGGGCATGGGGGGAGGGGGGGCGCCGATGGAACTGGAGGGGGCGCATGAAGTGAGGATGAGTGGTGAGGGGAGTGTGGCGGTGGGGGGAGGGGAGGACGAGGTGAAGGCTGAGGAGGCTGCACTGGCTGCTAAGATCGCAGAGGTGAGCACACCGGTTAAAAGGGAATCACCGTTTTTTTAGGGGTTAATATTTCACAGTTGTTTGGTTGTCTTGTGTGCTTTCAACTTTCCGGGGGGTAGGCTAGGCCCCTTGACGTGCGGCTCTGCCTTCCTTCACATGCCATGACGGTTCATGTGTTTCCTGATTGTGCCTTGGCTGTGATGAGGCGATTTTTCAGTCGACTCAAAAATCCGTGTGTGATGAGGCGATTTTTCAGTCGACTCAAAAATCGGTTGATGTGTTACGTGATTGTGCCTTGGCTGTGGTAACCAGGTTGCGGCAGAAGAGAAGGCCTACGCTGCTGATCTGGCCAAGGAGCTTTCAGGCGTCCCGTTCTCGTCCTCCCTGGTCCAAGGCAAGGGTAGCAAGGATGGGGAGGAGGGCGATGAGGGTGAGAACACAGCGGAAGGACAGGAAGAGGGCGAAGGAGACGAGACAGACGAGGAGGAGGACGACGAGGAGGAAGGGGAGGGTGAGGAGGAGGAGAGGCAAGGAGGAGCAGCGGCAGCAGTGCCAGCTGTGGAGGAGGAGAATGAGGAGGATGGGGGCAAGGCGGCTGCACGCATGTTGATGAGTCGCAAGAGGAGGGGGTTGTATGATGCCATGCAGATGGGGCGAGCCAAGAAGGCCGCCGGTGTTGCTCTCCTCCACGAGCGTCGCCTCAAAGCCGCCGCTGCTGCTACTAGTGCTGGTGGTGGTGGTGGGGCGAAGGGTGCTGGTGCTGGTGGTGCAAAGGGTGCTGGTGAGGGTGGTAAGAAGGGTGGGCAACAGGGGAAGAAAGCGAAGCAGGAGAAGAAGGGGTGGCGATAAGGCTGTAGGAGCATGCTGATGAGTGGCAAGAGGAGGGGGTTGTATGTGATGCCATGCAGATGGGGCGTGCCAAGAAGGCTGCTGGTGTTGCTCTCCTGCACGAGCGCCGCCTCAAAGCCGCTGCTGCTGCCACTGCTGGTGGTGCTGGTGCGAAGGGTGCTGGTGGTGCTGCTGGTGGTGCTGCCGGTGGTGCAAAGGGTGCTGGTGAGGGTGGTAAGAAGGGTGGGCAGCAGGGGAAGAAAGCGAAGCAGGAAAAGAAGGGCTGGCGATAAGATGAGTCCCTAGTGCTTCTATGGATAGGATATTATCAAGAGGCTCCTGTATTGGATCATTTTCTGTTGGTACCACTGTAAAGATGAACCACTTTCTGGAATTTGGAACCTAAGAGGTGCTTGGTTGGTGAGGGGTTAGCGATGTGGGGCGCAGCTCAGCTGCCTCCTCACGTCCGTCTGTTCGGGTGTATGTTGATTGGCTCACATATGGTAGGTGGTAGATTCTCAAATGCTTTAGTTTAAAAAAGGGAACCATAACCATTCACATTTGTTGCGGAGCAATGTACCAACATGGCATTGCACTTGTGCTGTACACTTTTGCTCACTTTATACCCATTATAACAAATCTGTACACAAGCCAACCCAGCAAGAGCTGTCCCCATAAATCTAGGTATGATCTGCTGTGTTGTCGTGGTGAGCTTGCCTAGCGTACCAACACAGCGCAGCTCAGCAGCACAATACACTGCACCGTGCAGCACATATTCCGTATGTTTGCCAAACATCACAGATCTGCAATCAGTTTGGCTATTCTGTCGCGCCGTCTGTTGCGCTCCTCCTCCCCATCCAGGTCCCCAATGTTGTCGCTGTACTCCTGATAGTGGCGCGCACGCACACACACACACACACACACACTCACACACACACACACACACACACACACACACACAAGGAGCACATGTGAATAGAAGGGGTAAGTAGGAACGGACATGAGACTTCTGCCTTTTCCCCATCCAGGTCCCCAATGTTGTCGCCGTATTCCTGATCATGGCGCACGCGCGCGGACACACACACGCACAAAGAATGGAAGGAGGGGGGAATGGAAGGGGTGGTAAGAGACATGAAACTTCTGCTCCTTCCCCATCCAGGTCCCCAATATTGCCGCTGTACTCCTCATGCCGTGCAGTGCAGACACACACACAGGGAATGGAAGGAGGGGGGAGATTGGAAGGGGGAAAGGAAACGGTGGTAAGAGACATGAGACTTCTGCTCCTTCCCCATCCAGGTCCCCAATATTGCCGCTGTACTCCTCATGCCGTGCAGTGCAGACACAAGGGTGGGAAGAGACAAGAGACTTGTGTTTCTTTCCATCCACGTCTCCAGTATTGCTGCTGTACTGATGATGGCACGCGCACACACGCAGGGAACGGAAGGAGCGGGGAGAATGGAAGGGGGAATGGAAAGGGTGGGGAGAGACAAAACCCTTCTGCCTCCTCCCCATCCACGTCTCCAATGTTGTCGCTGTACCCCTGATGATGGCACACACACACAGGGAGGGAGGGAAATTAAGAGTGGGAAGAGACATGAGCATTCCGCAGTTGCACTATCCCCCTCACCTGCACTATCCCCCTCACCTGCACTATCCCCCTCACCTGCAGAATGGCCTTCACATGGTCTCTTGAAAGCTTCTGCTGTCGCAGCAGCAGATCAATACGGTGCCTCATACCCCCATGTCTGGCAGCATATGAGAGGAGATGAGCAGGAAACGATTTGGGAGATGAGATTGGAGATGAGATTGGAGATGAGAGAGAGATGGTACGCACACGACACATGATTTTGGGTGATGGATAGAAAGGCAGAAAAGGACGTGCCTGGGGTAGAGGACATGGTAAGAGAGGGGGGGAGGGAGGGAGAGTTGCAGGGAGCAGCGAATGGGGCTGCGAGTGTGGGCAGTGAAAGCAATGAAACGCCACACTTGGGGACATGACATGCTAAAAATATATTGTTCTTGCAAGGGGATTGATCAGGCAAGTGAAGAAACATGAGAGGCATTGGTAGAATGGCATGTGGTGAGAGGCAATGGCTGATGGCATGTGGCAGGAGGCATGTCGCAGGCTGCATGTGGCAGGCGGCATGTCGCAGGCTGCATGTGGCAGGCGGCATGTCGCAGGCTGCATGTGGCAGGCGGCATGTGGGTGTGCTTACTCTGCAGCCCAGAGGTGGGCGAGGATGAGAGCGATGAGCTGATGCGGCGATACCAGTGGTGATGGTGATGGGAGTGACCAGTGACCCACACATGTACGCATCGAGTCGCCACATGCAAGACGGGAGGATCGTTGAGCGTTGTAGGGGAGAGAAAGGGACACAGTAAGGGGCAGGAGAATGGGTAGAAAGGGTCGGGGGGAAAGAGATGGAGAGACAGCAGCAGAGCATTCGCATGTTAGAGACGAGTCAAAAGAGGAAGAGGCAGGAGAATGGGGCAGATAGCTTCCCTGGATGCAGAATGAGGAGAGTGAGGTAGACAGGTCACAGCAGGAGAGGACATACAGCCTGGATACAGACAGGCTGCACAGTATGCAGTGCGATGGAGAGCAGGCAAGCGTGGGGCACGGGTTACAGGCAAGCGTGGGGAAACTATACTGGTACATGTGGGGAGGGCGCTCCTGCAGCGGGGGGGGGCGGGCGCACCTGCAGTGGGAGGGGGGCGGGCGCACCTGCAGTGGGGGGGGGCGGGCGCACCTGGAGTTGGAGGAGGGCGCACCTGCAGTGTGAAGAGGCCTGCTTCCAGTCGAGCCAAATAACGATCCTCATCTGTCATCTGCATGAAGGGATGAGGGAAGGGGGGTGAGAGGGGGTGGTGTTTTTGAAGCACCTCAGAAATTGCTTCCAGTCGAGCCAAATAACGATCCTCATCAGTCATCTGCACAAAGGGATGAGGGACGAGGGGGATGAGGAGGGGAAAGGATATTTGAGGCGCCTCAAAAATTGCCTCCAGACGAACCAAATAACGATCTTCATCTGTCATCTGCATGAAGGGATGAGGGACGAGGGGGATGGGGAGAGGGAAACGAAACGAGCTGAGGGGGAAGGGAAGAGGAGATCGGGAAAGAGAAGAAGAGATGGGTGGGTGGGGGGAGGAGGGATGTAGAGGAGGAAGGGAGTTGAGGAGGAAGAAAGGACAAGACTAGGTATGGTTGCAATGCCCCCCCTTTCTCCCCCTCTTCCCCTCTCCCCTCACCCCCTTCTCATCTCCCCTTCTCCCAATGAAACAGGAAGAAAGGAAACAGACCTCCTCCTCCTCGTCGTCCTCCTCCTCCCCCTGCTGCCTCAGAATCTCTCGTCTTCTCTGCTGCTCCTCCTGCCGCCTCTCTTCCGCCCGCACCCGCTCCCAGTATCTGCCATTGGTGGGTGGGGGGAGAAGAGAGGAAGGGGGGGAGTGGATAACCCTGCTGTCAGTACTGTCACAGAGCCGTGGGGCCTCTCGAGAGCCTCAGAGTCACTTAAAGCCCCATAGCCTTTAAAGTCTCAGAACCTCTTAGAGCCAGTTAGTGACCGGCTAATATGATATCTGAGAAAAAATCCTCATCCAAAGAACACACTTCTGAGACATTCAACCGCACTCCCTCACTCACTCTCCCTCCCTCATCCCCCTTCATACTCCCTCTCTCTCACTCCCTCCATGATACTCCCCCACTCCGTCACTCTCTCACTCCCTCACTAGCTCCCTCACTCTCTCACTCCCTCTCACTCACTTCATATACAGCTCCAAAAGATGGTCGATCTTCTCATACTCTCCTTCCACGAACTTGCTCAGCACTCGGTCCCTCCGTGACCCCTTGGACAGCCCCGCTGTTACAGGTGCGTGCAAAGGGGTGGAGATAGGTTGAATGCGGGGTTGAGCCTCAGAACACAGTCTTTCCCTGAGCCCTTAAAAGAGTTGAAGTCGCAAGTAAAAAGCATCGAGGCAATGAAGGAGATGACACGTACAGACAGAGCAGGGAGGCAATGAAGGAGATGACACGTACAGACAGAGCAGGGAGGCAACGAGGGAGATGACACGTACAGAGCAGGGAGGCAATGAGGGAGATGACACGCTCGTCTATCTCCTGCTGCAGCTGAAGCGTCTCTGACTTGTCCTTGCGTTTCACTGTCACCTGCACATGGCACACAGCACACAGTGTTTTGAGCCCCATCACACAGCGGGGCAGAGAGAGGTGCCAACTCGCACGTCTCATTCAACCTGCTTCTCCAGCCATATGATTAGGCGAGCAGCAGTCTAAAAGAATTCTTTATGGCTGAAGGTACTCGCACGTCTCATTCAACCTGCTTCTCCGGCAACCACCAACCCACCTTCCACCCGCTCAACTTCCTCCCAGCTCACACCCCCCTCCCCCCCTTCACCCCCTCACCTTATTCATGAACGCGGAGAAGAGCGTTTTCAGCCCCAGCACATCCACAAACCGCTCGCACGCGGCGGGGCAGCGCGTGGTGGCGAAGTCGAGGGCCTTCATCGCGGACGAGTACGCGAGCTTCCTTTGCTTCATCGTGATAATCATCAGCTCCACCCCCTCCGATTTCACGAACCGCTCCTTATTCTCGTCCACCATCACCACGCTGCACAGCGCGTCGAAGATATTCTCCAGCATTTCCTCCTCTTCCGTCGTTTTCGGATCGCGCGATTTGTAAATTGCCGCGGCTTGCAGCAGCGAATCCACGCCGTTCATCGCGCCGACTCGTTTTTGGTTCGCGGAGCTGCCTTGGAGCAGGATCGCGAGGATCTCGCTAGCGTATAGCTTATTCGCGTCGAACTCTTTAACGCGTATTCGGGCCAGTAACCAGCGTAACAGTCGGGTCCGTTCGCAAACGGCTTCGGCGACGGATGGCAACGCCTCGATCATATTCTCGAAAATGCCCAACGTCGTGAAAACAGCGTTACCTTCTTCGTTATCCTTTTCGTCCAATCGCTGAAGATTCTGCACGAGAAGCTCTAACCCGCTCGAATCTACAAGCGACTGCACCAATGCCTTCGCCTCCTCCTCGTGATCCCCTATCGCGTCCGCATCCGTCAACTCTCCTAGTAACGAAACCGCTCCTAACGATATATCCGTGTTCTCGTGCCCCAGAAGCGACAAAATCGACGGAACCGCATTCAACCGCACTAAATCTGGGTACAGGCTCGGCGCGCTTGCGACAGCGTGGAGCTTCTTGACCTCCCGGTCGAGCTCCACCTCGGATTCCATAAACTTCTCTGGTTGGTCCACGTGGCGGATCCGCGCGTCCATGTTCTCCTTGAGCCGCTTCTCGAATGCCAGAACGGCTCGCCGCAATCCGCGGAGGTCCATAACCTCGACGGAGAACCCGCCTCCCGCTCCGCCCTCCCCCGCCGCTGCCGCCGCCGCCGCTTCCCGTTCGAGCGCTTCCAGAAGCTCCATGTCAACCTCCTCATTATCGCCCGGCGCCGCGGGGAGCACGGGGCGACGGAATTCGGATTCAGGCCCGCCTTTCTCCTCGTCGTCGAAATCGTCGCGCATTTTCGCTTTTCCTTTGCGGTCTGCTGCGGATGCTAGCTTTCTCGGTCCATCCGCGATAGAAGGCGCTCCGTTCTGTGCATTGGCGCCTGAATCCGCAACTGGTGGCGTGTCCCAAGTTCTCTTGCGCTTAGGCGCCGCTGCCGCCATTTGGAGCTATCTTCGAGCTAAGAAGAGCCTGCAGAAGAGCTAATCTGTAAAGGAACACGGAAGAAAAATGCGACTCGACTGGATTCGAGAACCAGGAAAGGAAATCAGTGTGTGGTGGAGTAACTAGACTACCGAAGCGGTCTGACGAGGTGCATAGTCACTACTTGTCAGCGTAGCAAGAATGAATGGCTCCACCTTTCTAGAGTGAGCTCGGGGGAGGGGAGAGAAGCAGTGAACTCATACGCGCTAACAAATCACTCGCAGCATGCGAGAGCTCATGTTTCCAGGTAAGTACTTCAGGTACTTGTTGGGTTCTCGTTACTTTTAAACACAGATGATTCTGTGAGCCACTTCACATGGTTGACAACCTTACAGCGAGTACAAACATCTTCCATTCAGCTCTGAATTGACAGCCTGTCTGAGGGAGAACCTGATTATGAGTCGCCACAAAATTGAGGAGGTAGAAAAACAAGACAAATTACAGTGTTACGCTATCATATTTCTCATTACATGTGCAGCACCAAGCAATTTCTACTGCATATCAAGGAGCATATTCTATGCATCCCAAACCAAGATGCTCTTCTCAGGGACCCCGGCCTCCTTGAGCACTTGCAGCGCAGCTTGGTTGGACTGCTTATCGCCAAACACCACAGCGGCTGTGAGCTCAGGGTCGTACTCCAAGTCGTCAGCGTCGAACGCATCCATAAACGACCCCACCAGCCCGTCCCACTCCTCCCCGTTTGTCGCGTCCACGATCGGCCTCACCTTCGCATTGAGCTTCTCCCATTGGGCAAAGTGGTCCTGCACAATATAAAATCGATGGGCAAGGAAAGGTTAGACCGATAAATGATGGGTGCTGATGCAGGAAAACTGACAATTCAGGAGATCAAGGCACTTTCGATAGCCTTGGTTGGCACTCCCATACCCCCCTCCACTCTCTATTTGCACTCATGCATATTACACCTGCCATTCCACACCCATTCCATCATCCCTTCCCTGCTGCTTCGCCTCCCACTCACTCATAGAGGCTTTTCCAAGTCCAGCCACCTCAGGTTGACACCAACCCCTCGTAACTCACCAACAAGACAAGTCAAACCTTGAAATGCAAGAAGCACCGGCTCAGGGAACCACGGAGATGCGTACCTTGTAAGCAACGGCTGAGGGCGAGGGGGCGGAGTAGAAGAGCCGCACTTCAGAGCGCATGTTGAGGAACAGCGACCCCACATCCGAGGCCTCTATGAGCGACCGCGCCGCCGCAATGCCGTTGCCCGCGGCAAAGATGAGCAGCGTGGGGAACCGCGAGAGGAACATGATTGGCCGCAGGTCCAGCCCGTTGGCCTGGAAGGCACCGACCTCCAACTCAGCTCCTGGAGGGTAAAGGCCAGAAGAGATGAAGTATGCTCACGTCGTTCTTCCACCAATTTCTTTGCCATGTGTCAGCTGAATAAGTTTGAACTGGCGAGGTCGACAGACTTATTCACTCACCCCTTCACCAAAGTACATCATGTGAAGGGGTTGAGGCGATGCGGCGAGCCATGCAGATTTAGAAGCAAACCATCTGAGGTAATGCCATATTGTGTCCAGCGTCAGCTGAAACGCTCACCCAGCTCAAGCTGGCCTATTGGGTGGTGGTCAGACTCGGAGGTCGGCTTCGGGACGTTCGAGCTCTTCACATCTACAGGCCCCTCTGTGATTTCAAGAAAAAGAGACGCATTCAGATGTATTGCAGCGCTCACCAGGCTGCAGGTTGTAGCGTGTGGATTGGTGTCAATCTGAGGCTGAAAATATCCAGGCTTTAGAAATTATGAGGCGTCACTTCGTTCCCACCCAAGGCATTGCACTGCTCACCAGGCTGCAGGTTGTAGAGAGGGTGGTCGGGCGTGACGTGCAGCTCCAGCGGGTGCTTCACGGACAACGCGTATTGCGGCGCCTTGGTGGCACCGGCGGGGATGTCGCCGCGCAGCTTGTACAGCACGCGCCAGTTGCTCTCGCTGGGGAACGGCGGGCTCGACACGTACGTCACCACGGGCTCTCCCTCCGCCACGCGCACCAGCACGGTCTGCCCGGGCTTCGTGTAGGCCTGGTCAATGGGAATGAACTGCAGGGTGGCAGGAAGGGGAAGGTACACAAGAGGGGATACAGTGGGTGTGAGGATGGAGAGGGTGAGGGGAGGTAAGGGAGAGGAACTCTATTCTAGTACCAAGGAAGCATTGACCATCGGCTTCAAGCTTGAGCTGGTTGCCTGAACTGTTTTCACGGCTACATCGTTGCAAACGAGAGAATAGATTGATGCTGCACGATGCCAAGAAATGAACAGGCAAGGACGGTCTAGCTGCTCTGTAGTATGTTCGACTGGTGTGAGCACCATACGCCAGGAGCGGCATGCCCGATGTGCTCAACGGAAGTTCTTCTCAAGCTGCGCTCATCTTGCTTGTGACGCGGCCATCCGTGCACGTCTCGACTCGTCATGCGCATGACAGAGACGAAAATTTCAGGTATGGTGACCTTGCCGTGTCAGCCGAGTTTACCGGCTACGACTTAGCACGCTAAGCCTATGTGGGTTAAGAGAAAGAATCTGAATGCCACCAACGGGAAAACTTATCTGATGCTAATACGGATCGGAAAATCGTCGATGCTCCTAAATTTCTTTACGCTGATACTGAATTTAGAGCCGGTATTAGTAAAGGATGAAATAATCACAGCTTGCAGTAGAGACATGCCTTTCAGAAGAAGCGTCATACCTCTCTCGAGATTTCCGCATTGACAGTCACCACTCGCACATCAGGAGCGACGTCCAGAACGGCAACAACTGTCGCGACATTGAAATCCTTCTTCTCCGCAGCATCAACCTCGATAACAGAGTAAGGCTTGGACGCATCCTCGCTCTCCTTCAACCTGAGCCGATCGTCCGCGCTGATCGTCTCTGCATTCGCCGTTGGTTGCACGGCGACGGACGCCTTAGGTGCGAACTTCGATGCTCTCCTCTGCACGGCGGTCAGGGCGAGCTTCGTGCCGTGAGCGAACGAGTCGGTCTTGATGGAATCGGACGGTCGCGATGCTCGTTGTGTGGAGCGGGAGAAGAGCTGGCAGCTCAGCCGGGAGCACTGGAGAGAAGTGGTCGCCATGGCGTGTGCAAGCTTCGAAAATGCGCAATCTGGCAATCAAAGGACTGGTTTTGCGTATTAAAGACGTCCGCTTCGCTCCAGATGCTCCTTGAGCTGGGAAGCGTGAGAATGGAGAATTAAAACTCCAGCTACTGCGCTAACTTCACTCTTGACTCACAAGAATAACGAGCAGAATGCCAAAACCTACTCAGTAGTACTAGGCATCTGCAGCTTTGGTGTAAACGACGCTTAGTTAAGCACTGGGCGCAGCAGGCTGCCAGCAAGGAGGGGGGAGGGTGGGGGAGGGGTGTGGGAAAATTGTGAAGGAACAGGATGATCTGCTCATGGGAAGGCAATCCCGAAGTGAGGCTGATCCCCAGGTGAGGCCGAATGCACTGGTGTTCCTAATTTCCGAAGTGATGTGGCGAGGCCAGGTGGCGAGATGATGGGCGCCGCGTGGATTCCGCAAGCCAAAATGGCTCGTAAGTGCTGCCATGTCACGCTAGACGACAATGGACTTTCGAGTCTCCTCACAAGGATGGCCTGTCGGCTCGTCCCTGAACCTGGAAATCTGCATTATTATCGTCCTCCTTTTTCGCTTTCATCGATAATCCTTGCTATCAAAGCATTACGTATTTGTAACAGTTTCATTCAAGATGTGTCTATGCACTGTTCTTGTTTGTTAACGCACCTGCTTTCAACGCATTCTTTAGGCCAATGTTCTGACTCCCATTCCTGCCCCAGGTTATCATGCCATGCTCCTAACTTATGCGTTCAGCTTCAGGCGAGCCATTTCACGATCGAAACATAACAACCGCGTGCTCTAACCGCCTCGTCTCGCTGTCAGGGCACTATACATCTGTAAGAGATGGGCTAAGTTGGCAGGCAGCAGCAGCAGCAGCCGATCCAATGGCTGCAGACGCAGCTCCAGTCGTTTCAGCATCATTTGAATCAGATTCAGCAGAGCTCGCTTCGGATTGAGTGTGGTGAAGCTCACGCTGGTAGAGCCGATCGTCGCGGCAATGAGGAACGCCAGAGCCTTCCTTTTAAGCTTCGTCAAGCCGCTGGAGGGTGGTTAAGGGACAGACAGAGGGACGTTGCCAGGCTCGTTGAGGGTTTCCCGCAAGAGCCCGGAAGGCTACTGGGGGGGGTTACTGGCGGAATCGATCCGATCGGCGACTGCGTCGACAGGAGTGGTAACAATGTCGCCGATGCATCGTTGCTCCACTTTCGCCACCGGTTCGCCTCCATCACGGCGTCGTTCGCGGGGAGATTCGGTGGCGCTGCTGCTGTGGATCCAGCGGATCAGCGACTGGCTTCGCTACAGTCACCGCCCGCATCAGATCTTGCATCTACCGCCGAATCCGCGTCTGCTCTAGGAGCGGAAGGTCACGGGTTCGAATCTCCCGCGAGACACATTTTCGACATTGCCATGTCGGCGGACCAAGTCGCGAAGCGGTTAGATGGTGTACCCGTGTACACTGTGACTAACACTGCAAGCGAGTTCGTGCTTATATCGGATATGGGAGGAAACAAGTCGCTCGGGCTGTTCTGCTTCAGGAGAGAAGATGCTGAAATGCTGCTAGCACAGGTAATGCCCAACTGCCGATGGTGCAGATCAAATTCTCTTCTGACCTATCTCCTCCAGACGTCCTTCCCTTGTTTCTCGTTCTCTTCTTATGCATGTGTCTCTCCCCCCTCTCTCTTTATCTTCCTCATTTCTTCCTTCTCCCCTCCCCCTCTGACTGTGTGTAGGTGAAGGATCGCGAGCCGTCACTTGGGCGTGGGGCGAAGGTGGTGCCAGTGTCGCTTGACAAGGTGGGTGTCACTTGACGGTGGGTGTGACTTGACAAGGGGGTTGTCACTTGACAAGGTGGGTGTCGCTTGACGGTGGGTGTGACTTGGCAAGGTGGGTGTGACTTGGCAAGGTGGGTGTCACTTGACGGTGGGTGTCACTTGACAAAGGGGTTGTCACTTGACAAGGTGGGTGTCGCTTGACAGTGGGTGTGACTTGGCAAGGTGGGTGTCACTTGACAAGGTGGGTGTCACTTGACAAGGTGGGTGTGACTTCGCAAGGTGGGTGTAGGTGGGTGTTGCATGAAGCGGTAAGGTCAGTGTGCAATGATAACAATGCCATCAGAGAAAGGGAGCCTGGTTGTGGAGTTGAGTGGTGCCTGTGTCATGTCACGCCCAGGTGAGCGCAGTTTCAGTGATGGCCCTTGGTTTGTGAAGATGCAGCATCATCTTGTCAATGAGCATAGCCTATTCCTGCCCTCAGACTCCTCTTTTTCATCCTCTTCATTTCATATCATTTCTTTTGCCCAAATGCCCTCAAGCCTTTCTTGGCAAGGTGGGTCTAGGTGCCGATTGCTGCATCTCATTGACCCTCCGCTAAGCCCTCCTCTCTCCGTTCCTGCATCTTGTGGCCTCGCCTGTGTGCTCTTGCCACGCGTGCACCAGGTGTACCAGCTATCAGCAGAGGGGATTGCATTCCGCTTCTTGCCTGACCCCACGCAAGTCAAGCACGCCCTTCAGGTGAAGCTCTCTCACTCTCTCTTGCCCGCCGCCTTCTGCTGCCTACTTCTTTTCACCTTTTTTCTGTTCTATTGTCAAAACTGGTGTTGTCGATGTCTCTTTTCCCCTGTCATTTTGCAGGTCTTGTCAGCATCTGGAGAGACAGCGAGGGCATTTGATGGGGTTCCTGTCTTTCAGGTGCTCACTGACCTCTGCTGTTCATTATATCAGTAGCTTTCTGTCCTGTGTTGGGTCCGGCATTCAATACCATCATGCACTCTCACTCCCTCTGTTTATTCTCACATTCCCCCGACTTACATTTCCTCTCCATGCCTCGCCTGCTGCAGTCGGAGAATCTCATCCTTCGCAGCAAGAACAGGCGCTTTTGTCCAGTCTTTTTCAACAAGGTATGCTTCCTAGTCAGTACCCCCTCCTCGTTCTCACCTCTCCTCTTTCCTTCACTCCTCTCCTATTCCTCAGTCCTCCCTACCACCCTACTCAATGCCTTTCCCCTCGTATCTCCCTTTCATCCCCACCCCGTAACATTATGCTTGGTCCTTATACAGGAGGATCTGGATGCGGCTCTGAAGAAGGCCATTAAGCAGAAGCAGGCAGTGAACCCCAACATGCGAGTCACCAACAACATACAGGTGTGATGCCAGGGAGGGAGGGGGTGACTGCAGGGTGTTTGTTTTGGGTAATTCGCAAAAACACCCTGCAACTAGAAGGCTATCAAGCAGAAGCAGGCAGTGAACCCCAACATGCGAGTCACCAACAACATACAGGTGTGATGAAAGGGAGGGAGGGCATGACTGGAGGTTGCACATGTGGTTCCAAGTTGAAGCACTGTTACATTGCGTATGTGGAGTGTTCTTATCCTCGTGTACGATAGGATTGAGCCATATATGTAGAGCCTTGGACAGTGTGACAATACAGAGGTGCACTATGGAGTGTGGCTGGCCCACACTGTGAAGCTTTCTATCTCCCCTCGTGTGCCTTTCTCGTTTGTTCTTCTTATCCAGGTTGGCAGTTTTGAAGAAGTGCTTAAAATGCTTGAGGTGAGCTTTTCGGAGCTACATTTAATGCATGTTATTGAACAGACAAAAAATATCGCCCTTTGGTAACCATTACTCCTGCTATTCCATCCAGCCTAAATTTCTGTCTTTCCTCCCACTCCCCTTACAGCGAAACGACGAGGACTCGTTGTGGGGGGACCTGCTCTTTATCCCACCGGGCATGGACGCAGAGGGGTTACTAGGCAAGGCAGTGGCAGCATCACCACCACAACCTCCTGTCCTCTGCTAGAGTTAAGGGTTTCCAGCTTCCTGCCTGCAGGCACATTACTGGGTGGCTAAACCCGTGAAATGAAATCTGATTGTTTAGGTGAGTGCCTGCGGGCACATGAATGCTGTGGCTAAAGCTCTTCCATCTCAAATTCACTCTAGAAGGTTGGTGATGAATGTAGTGGTTGCTTGTTCCTTCAGTTCGTTGAGAGATGTCACGGTTCAGAAAATCCAATGTACAAACTCAAATCATTCCAAGGTTAGAGCGACCAAACAAGAGAAAGCAACTACACCTTGCAGCAGCTCCCCTATTGTGCCCCAGCTCTTCTACTACCAGGTATATACCTAACCCTCAGCACAAGGGGGAATCTGCACAGGCTCGCAACAAGCACCTATCCGCACCTAGACGAGTGCTTTAGGCTCCAGCACCACATCACACCCTATTGAACCATTGCAAATGATATATTTAAATGCTTCGCAGCTTATTTTGGTACTGATGGGTACACCAGCAACACTTAGGACTTGGCGAGGGGCGAATCGGGGTACGCGAGCTTCTTCATGTGCTTCTCACGCGGATACCGTAGATTGGTGGCCAATCCGACGGCTTCCAGCAGCTTGAGGGTGTACCACGTCATATCGATCTGCCACCACTCCAAACCGTGGCGCGCCGAGTACTCGAACGCGTGGTGATTGTTGTGCCAGCCCTCGCCGAATGCCAGAATGCCCACCCACCTGGAAAAAAACGAACAGTAGCATATAATCCGGCGTTATCGAGGAATGGGAACAACCTTGTTTTATTTGCTTCTTATTTTCCCAATGGTTAGAATTGTTGACATGCTCCTAATTTGTAACAGGCGAAATGGGGCGACTATTGTGATGCGAGTGCGACGAAGTGGAAATACGGGTGAGCAGTGGGGATTAGGGAGGAGGGAAGAGTGAGGCCGACAGTGAGAATGGGCGCGACGTACCAGTTGTTGCGGGAGAGGTCGCCCGTGTTCCACGGCTGGTCGCCCCACACGTGCGACGCGGAATTCACGAACCACGTGATGTGGTACACCCACACTAGGCGCAGCGCCTGCACGCATTTAACATCAATCCATCTATATTAGTATATATTAAGGGTTAGAAAGAAGACGTTGTATCGACGACTTTCAAAAACCCCCGAAGGAGAAGTGAACGGCTGCTGAAGAGTCACTGAGGCGGTGCTGGTTGACGACGACTTACCCAGCCCCAGACGACGAACGGGAAGCCACCGAGCGCGTAGAGTGCGGCGACGGACGCGACGATGTGCCAGACGTAGGTCTTATCGATGAACTGATAGAACGGGTCCTTGGTCAGATCGTAGATGTTGTTCTTCCCCTCCAGCTGCAGGGTTACCACGCACAAAATATTCATTAGTAACCAGGTTACCAATTTACTACACGATGGTATCGGCACGACATGGAGAGAAGAATCGTACCCTGGCGTTGAGTGCCTCGTTATCGAGCAGCCAGCCGGCGTGGCTGTACCAGAACCCCTCATAAGGCGTATGGACGTCCTCGGGTTTGTCGCACCAGCGGTGGTGCACGCGGTGCGCGCTCACCCACTCAAACGGAGGGCCCTGGCAGGCGAGGACGCCGCAGTAGGCGAAGGTGTACTCGAGCCACTTGGGCAGCACGAAGCTGTGGTGAGTCAGATGGCGATGGAACGACAGCGTGATGCCGAACATGCCTGCACCAACGGAACACACCCGATGTCATAAGTACGAATCACGAGGCTGCAATATCCCGTAAAACCCACGGAAAGACATTATTCGGGACGAGCTAGCATGAAGTAGCGCGATCACGGAAGAGGATGAATCTGCTGCGGCCAATCAGGTAGGCTTGTAAACCAGCGAAAGAGGATCGGACCGTTCCGGGTGCTCCATGGCGCGACGTCAGCACGCACCTGTGATGACGTACATGGCGACGAAGCACTCGAACGCCTCCCACGAGAAGGTAAAGGGTGCGGCGAGCGCGAGCAGGTGGATGCTGCCGAGAAACACGGCGTATCCGATATCCTTGGGCAGCCACTCGCGGTTGAAGAAATAGGGGCGCTTCTTGACGGTCACCACGTCAGACAGCCACACCTTGTGCGGCACGCCCACGTCATCCATCTCCTCGAGTTTCTCCAGGACCGTCTTGGGCGGCTCGTGCGGTGTGGTGAGGATGTCCTCTTGTTCGATCTCGATAACAGCGGAGTTTCCTGCGGGTTTCCGCGCGCGGAATTGGGGGAGTCGCGCGGGGAGACGGAGGCTGGAGCCCGCGAAGTGCGATTGCAGGCGGTGACGAGGAGTCGCGGTCAATTTCGCGCATGCGACGGTGACCGGCACGGAGGCCGTGTGCGAAAGGAGAGCTGTCGCCATGCTGTTCCGCGGAGGGGCCAATCAAAAAGGACTTTCCAATGATAATCAGGAATGGGCACAAGTATCACACGTTGTGGTCGCTGATAAATCCTTGATAAAGAAGCGAGCCAACAGAGACTGAGACTCGATTAATCGAATTGATCACGTGAACCTCAAATGGTAGATAGCAGCGACCTCTTCGTCGCTCGCTCAAAAGATGGATTATGCTTGCGCTGTGCTTGCTTGTATATAAGCCTTCTTGGGCACAGAGGTGAGCTGATGGTGATGGTCAATTGGCTGGAGGGAGTGAGAAAAGGAAGGGTGGGCAGTAAGCGGGGCGGGATTGCGTTTGATTGCTTGAATCATGTGTTGGCAGATCCCCACTGCAATGCTGGCATGGGGAACATAGCTTTCGTCATGCACGCTTGGTGTGTGGAACACCCGAAGTCGAGTGGATGGGAACGAAGGCTATTGCGTGTGATGCTGGTGGCATTGGGGGGAAGAACGACGACGACACACAGGCTGGAAGGACGGTGCGCTGTCTTGTTTGTTGCCTGAGAAAATTGAGTCGCAGGCGTTGGGCGCAAAGGTAAGGCGCAAAGGTGAGGCGCAAAGGTGAGGCGCAAAGATGAGATGCAAATATAGGCGCAACTATGAGGCGGGAATCACAGAGGTGAGGCAAAGGTGAGGGTGCAAAGGTGAGGCGTGCGGGAGGCACAAATTGAGGCGCATTGCAGCAACCCAAGAAACTGCATCTGCGCATTGCTGGGCCCTCCCGCACGCTCAACTCAGATGTCGCCGAACCGCGTCGAAGTCCCCGCAGCGCTTGTGGATAAAACTCGGAAATAAATGTTCAATCTCCTTGGCGAAACCATCCCTGTTACGTCTAATTCAGGGATTTCGCGAATCCGCAGCTGCCAAGTCGGAACAGATGGTCCATCAAGCTTGGCGGTATTTCCAGTGGTTCCCACGAGTGGGCTTCACTGCGCTGTCATGTCATCTCGATCTGCCTGGACAGAATGGCGCGACCGCTGCTCCGCTGGCATGGTGGTGTTCCACGATAAAAGGACATCTCTGTGTGCTGGCAACGCGGCCCGGGATGGGCTTCTTGGGAGGATTGGTTCGCTTTCAACTGAGTCAGCCCTTTCTGATCTAAAGATAATTATGTACAGCCAATGGAAAAAGTGACTCAATAATGCATCCACCATTACGAAGAGGTATGCAGTGATCAGTTGCATGCTGTCAAACTAGCGTACAGCATTCTGCACTGCACAAAGCTGTTGGAAAGTAATAAATTTAAAGTGTGTGAAGCTGGGGGCAGGTTCCCCTTTGTCCCTGCTAGGCAACCAGACGCTTTTGTGGAGTGAGCTCCGGTAAAATACAACTATTGGTGGGACAGATGCAGGTGTCACCTGCAAGCAAGCATCTACCGTATGTCACTCACTCAAAACGTATTCATCTCACAACCACATAACTCACAAGCGAGAACCAACCTTGCGATCGACTCAATGAACACTATGTACAGCGTACGCAATGGCAGACCAAAAGGGTATGCGCCTATTGCATTAGAGGCCTTCCCCTCAATAATAAATTGTCATTGTGCGATGATGACACAATGGTGAAGCACCGTCTATTCCCTGCGACCAAAGCAACCAGTCCAGCTCTATGCTTAAAACCTGTCAAGCACAAACAGAGCAGAAAACGAGAGAAAGTCACTTTCAATCTCATTGTGACTCGTGAAAAGGAGAATTGGCGGCATAGTGAATCCAGTACAGTGCCAGCCTTCAAACAATTCAGATTCGAACCACCTTGTAGTGGTATCTCACCTGCTTCCCCACTGCACTCTCCAGTCGCTCTCGAAGGCGCTCGGTGGCAACGATGCAGCACGCTCTGATTTCCACCTCTTCTTCCGAACCTATCACGGGTATAAGGAAAAATGAAGAGCAAACTGTTGAAAATTGAGCCATCTTTGAGGCGCCCTCTTGCCTCTCCCCCCCATGCATTTCTACAAGGTGAGCAGAGGATAAAGCATGGGGCGCACACAGTTGATTGCTTGAACCACCAGGAAACACGTGACTTACCTGGCAGAATGGCAGGGCAATGTACCTGGCAGAATGGCAGCGCGATGTACCTGGCAGAATGGCAGCGCGATGTACCTGGCAGAATGGCAGGGCGATGTACCTGGCAGAATGGCAGCGCGATGTACCTGGCAGAATGGCAGCGCGATGTACCTGGCAGAATGGCAGGGCGATGTACCTGGCAGAATGGCAGGGCGATGTACCTGGCAGAATGGCAGGGCGATGTACCTGGCAGAATGGCAGGGCGATGTACCTGGCAGAATCACAGGGCAATGTACCTGGCAGAATAGCAGGGCGATGTACCTGGCAGAATGGCAGCGCTATGTACCTGGCAGAATGGCAGCGCGATGTACCTGGCAGAATGGCAGCGCGATGTACCTGGCAGAATGGCAGGGAGATGTACCTGGCAGAATGGCAGGGCAATGTACCTGGCAGAATCACAGGGCAATGTACCTGGCAGAATCACAGGGCAATGTACCTGGCAGAATCACAGGGCAATGTACCTGGCAGAATCACAGGGCAATGTACCTGGCAGAATCACAGGGCAATGTACCTGGCAGAATCACAGGGCAATGTACCTTGCAGAATCACAGGGCAATGTACCTGGCAGAATCACAGGGCAATGTACCTGGCAGAATCACAGGGCAATGTACCTGGCAGAATCACAGGGCAATGTACCTGGCAAAATCACAGGGCAATGTACCTGGCAGAATCACAGGGCAATGTACCTGGCAGAATCACAGGGCAATGTACCTGGCAGAATCACGGGGCAATGTACCTGGAGTATTTCCTGCTTGCTGTCCACAATGGCTGCAAGCCCCGGGGCGTATCGGAGCACGCCTCTGCTTCTCAGCACAGCCGGCACCACATAGTCGGCAAACATGGTGAGGCAGTGGAAGGATCGTGAACGTACCCGGAAAAACACCCAGCCTACCCGGGAGAATCTCTTGTTTTCCGTCCACAGCAGCAGCAAGGCTTGGAGCGTATGTGAGCACGCCTCTGCTTCTCAGCACAGCGGGGACCACGTAGTCCGCAAACATGGTGAGGCGGTGGATGTCCGAAAATTGACCCAGGCCACGCCCGCTGAACGCGCCCCACACATCTGCCACAAAGATCTGCGCCCTCTTGAAGAGCGCCACCTGGCGACCACGGTAGATTGAGTGGTCCTGAAAGTCTGCGAGAAGGAGGGGGGAAAGGCGGGAAAGGAGGATGGGGGAGGGGAGTGGGAGAGAAGAGGGGGCAGGAGGTAGATGGGGGACAATATGAGTGAGCAGCAGAAAAGAAAAAGACGTCGAAAACAAAAACCCAATTTTGAAGAGAGTGAAGTGACCCATCACCACCACCATGGCTCACAGGTGAAGTGTGTGGTGAGCAGGCGAACCAGTCTCTCTGCACTCCCCCCTGCCTCCTCCACCATGCTCGCCGCACTGCCACTGAAGCGCCGCAGCAGCACCCGCCCCACCTGCCGTGCTGCCTTCACCCGCTGCTGCTCCAGCGGAAAGGGCTTCGAACCGAGCAGAGCACGCAGGCCTGTGACTGGGGAAAGGTCGGGGGATTTTAGAGGGCGTTATGGGAGGTTCCTTCACGGAAGCTGCTGCTGCTTCAGTGGGAGATGGGGTGGGGGAGGAAGAGGGTCCCATACACAAGGGAATGCGTAATTTGACGGGCTTTGTAAGAACGAGGGGTAAACAGAAGAGGCTGAAGGGAATGCGTACTAGGAACAGGCACGGGGGGAGAGAGGGAAACTGCCAAACTTGCATGTCGACCCGATCCCATCAGCCAAACAACTCCATCAATCAAGCAATCAGCAGTTTCTCATAGCGGATCAGTGAGAGCATTCCGTTGCACGCACCATCAAGCACTGCGAGGCGGGCAGCATCAATGCTGGTGGAATCGCGGTGCACAGCTGCTCTTAAGCCGGACGCCAGGTGCTCGTAGTGCAGTGAGGGGTCTGTTGTGAGCATGGAGCACACGAAGGAGGCATAGGCACAGTCAGGTTTGGTGAGCCTTTAAAAAGGGGGTTCAGCCCGCGGTCGTCGGATCGCGGTGCACAGCTGCTCTTAGGCCGGACGCCAGATGCTCGTAGTGCAGTGAGGGGTCTGTTGGAGGGAGGGCGTGACGCGCATGAAGGAGGCATAGGCACATTTCAGTTTGGTGAGCCTTCTGACAAGGGGGTTCAGCATCAATGCTGGTGGGGTCGCGTTGCACTGCTGCTCTTAGGCCCGACGCCAGATGCTCGTAGTGCAGTGAGGGGTCTGTTGGAGGGAGGGCGTGCAGTGGATGAAGGGGATGAAGCGCAAGGAGAGGATGAAGTGGATAGGGGAAAGCGAGGGGATGATCGAGAAGGAATGAAGGAGGATAACGAGAATTTGGTAGGCCTGGTCTCCTGAGGCTCTACAATAGGGGGGATGAGAAAGAGATGGTAGGCATGGGTTTGGTGAGGCTACTTGAAAAGGCGGTTCGGCACATAGCCTTAGCATGGGTGGTTGAAGGGCACACCTTGATCACACCATGTTGCACCACATGTTGCCACATGTCACACCATACCATGTAACTACGACCATGTTACCATGTTACCATGTTACCCAGCCAGAAGCAGAAGTTGAGGGCGTCGAGCAGCAGCAGGTACTGCACGGTGAGAGGACCCCCATCCGTGAAATGCACTCCGTCGAAATTCCATGGCGGTAGCCTCAAGCCGTGACCTCCTGACGTGCTGCTTCCAGCACCGGCGGCTGTAGCGTTGGTTGTAGCATCAACTGCTGTTTCAGGATTGGATGCAGCTTCGGTTGTCGTACCACCATTGGTAGGTTGAGTGCGATCCGACGCGCACAGCGCATCTGCAAGCGCCTCAATCGCTGATGGGATTCACGATGGATGTGACCAGAAAAAAGACTTTTGAGTCGACTCAAAACAAGATTTGCAATAAGTGGCGAACTTTTGAGACATCTGAAAAGGCAAAAAGTGGCGAATGCAATCACAATCAGGTGCAGTGCAGGTACGAGGAGTTGACGAAGTTACTTAGGTTCGGCGGAGTTAAGACAGACGGAGCCATGACAGAGTTATCATGCACGGAATTAGGAAAGACGGAGCTATTGACAGAGTTATCATCTACGTAATTAGGATCGACGAAGGTGAGGCATACTAGCGAATTCCTAACGATTCAGACTTCTTATTCATTCTGGATATAAGCACCAAGTCAGCAACACCCATGCAGGTGACAGATCACTTATAAATGTTATCAGTGAACCGTCATTTTAGGCGCTTTGAAAGTCCCGTCGTCTAAACTAGCGTCGACTCATGAAGTCACGCGGACTCTATCGTCACTATGGTCGAGCTTGCGGTCTAGACACTATGGTCGATCTTGTGGTCTAGACACTATGGTCGAGCTTGTGGTCTAGACACTATGGTCCCTCTGAGCTTGTGGTCTAGACACTATGGTCCCTCTGAGCTTGTGGTCTAGACATTATGGTCCCTCTGAGCTACCTTGGTCAACTCTAGTGTCAGTATGGTATCCGTGAACTACCTTGGTCGACTCTAGTGCCAATATGGTATCCGTGAGCTACCTTGGTCGTCGATGGTGCAGTGCGTCGACTGCGACGCGACCCACTCGCACCCCTCGCGTAGGTCGCACAAGCAGTCCTCTTCACCCATGTCCATCGGCAATTGCTGCCTCAGGAAGAAAGAGAAGGGTTTTGTGCGATTAGCAATTAGAGCAATTGTAGAACAATCACAAGCTTAGGGCGTGTCCGAAGTGAAACGTCGACATCCGTCGGCGGATGTCGGCGAATCTTGACGGTCGATACCCTCGATCCGAGGGCTGATATTTACCAACATCCAAAAACGGATGTCAACGGATGTCAAAAGATCTCGTATAACAATCAGGCCTCCCTGTTTTTGTGCTGCTGAGTTCAGCATTCGCCGGCAGAAAGAAGGCATGTGAGATAGTGAAGGTGTGGACCCAGGGCTGTGATAAATGATTGCAAAGTGGTTCTGAGCTTTCAAGAGCTTTCTGAAATCGGTGTGGCATGGTGCAGCTGAAGGAAATGGACTCCCACTGGGTCCCACTGCGTCGCCGCCAAATCCTGACACTTCCACCTTGGGTTCTCACCTCTGCTATCTGCGTTATGGTTGCTTCAGATTTGGGATTCGACAGCGAACGAGTGCTCACTCAAGCGAATATAAAATATTCCCAGAGCCTAACTGCGGACTAATCTGCCACGAAATTGTTCATGGTACAGTTCTGTACGGTACCACAGAAAGCACAACTGCCGCAACAAAACATGAACCACAGCAACTGATAACTGGGCATTTGCCATCACTAGTTGACAATTGTTGCCCAGAACGCCATTGAAGCCTCACATGGGATATTGCAACAAACGCAAGTGGGCACTGGCACACCCCACCCCGTGTGCCATCTGCATGCAAAAACTAAAGCATCTCATACAGAAAGCGAGCTTTTAGCCTTACCATGTCCTTCATTCTGTTCGTTCAAATAGCACATAAGTCCTGCATGCGAGACGCCAAATGCTTTCCACATGCTCAAGCGCAGAGACAACATTAAGACTCCACACCTGCACCTACTGCACGCCTCGATCCTGCTTGTTCCACACCCACAGCTCCTCCAGCCACACGCAGCACTGCTGTGCACGCTGCTGGGATCAGAACTGCTGCTGTGAGTGCTCCTGCAACCAGTGCAGCTGCCATGGTTCCCACACCCATCATGCATGCATCATTGCCCTCCCACCAAGGCACCCTCCCCACCACCTCCCACCACAGACACTCCTGTCTGCTGCCCCTCCATCCCTGCACCACCTACACCTACATGACCACCTGCACCTGTGGGCGCAGGCGCGATAGGTGCAGGCGGCACGAGCGACTCGGGCTTTAAGTGCGGCAGCATCGCATGCACCGCGCGCCACGTGGCGCTCCACAGACTCTCCGTATCTGACGCGTCAGTCACCTGCAGCACGCCCTGCGTCAGCATCACCATCAGCATATTCTTCAGCACCTCACCCACACTCTCCCTCAACGACTCACCCGCTCCCCCTCCCCCTCTCCCCTCCCCGCCTCCCCCTCCTCTCCTCCCCCCGCCACCCCCACCCCCTCCAGCCCTCATATACCGGTCCATCCGAAGCAGCACGCCGAGCCACAAGGCTCGGAACCCCGGGCCTGGCAGCGAGGCTAGGCTCGCAAGAAAATGCAGAAAAACCTTGGACAGCATCTTGACAGCACGGAGCAACGACGCATCCATACCCCGGTATTCCTTGGGTTTCTCCCGCAAATGCACCTCTAAAAGATCGTCCAGAAGGACAAACACGACCTGGTCGAAGCACGGAGCCCACATGGTTGTGGGCATGCAGAGGGGGTCGGCAGCGAGGAGACAGCGCTGCAGCCACACTAGAGCGTGGTTCCGCACGTCTTCTCGTTGGTCCGAGCAGACCCGGCGCAGGGCGTGCAGCAGGCGCAGCCAGAGGTCTGCCAGGTCCTGCCCTGAGAACCGCCCTGCCCCAGATGCACCTGCCCCAGATGCACCTGCCCCCGATGATGACGAGGGTATGGGGCTTTGCTGCGAGGGAGAGAGGGCAGCTGCCAAGGGAGGTTGTTGCTGTGGGGAGAACGCACCGGAAACAGCACTACTCGAACTGTCCGCCTCACTCCTACCACCACCTGCCATTGCTGCTGCTGCGGTTGCTAGTCGGTCTGCCTCTGCTGCTTGCTCCATCTCCCCGGCCACCCTCCACTCCAGCAGGCAGTCTATCAAACACCCCAGCAGGTCCAGTGCTCGCTTCGACCGCTCCGCACCTCCCACCCGAGCCTCGGCAAAGTCCCGAGCCGCGTCGAGGAACGGAATGAAGTTACACGGGGACACGCAGGGCGGCCCGTCGGTGCAGACCTCCCCATAGTCCTCGACAGCACCAGCGGGGTAATCCGAGGCGAGAGCAGCAGGAGAAGCACCGGGAGCAGCAGCACCGGGGGGAATGGGTGCCATGAGCCAAGAGAGGGCTTCAAACCCGGGAGCAGCAGCGTCTGGATGCCTGGCTGTGATGGCCAGCAGAGCAGCAAGCGTTCTCCAGCCAGGCGGAGACTTCACCCTTCGCAGTGCCCCGCTCTGCCGCCCCTCCCTCACGATCCCCAACACGCCCCGCGTAATCCTCTCACAGAGCGCATCAGCCAGCCTGGCATCGAGTCTCAGCACATGTTGCAGGGACCTTAGCAGCTCGTCTGCTAGGGTTTCGTCTGCTGCTGGTAAGAGCTTTCTGCACAGCCGGAGGAGCCCGAAGACTGCTCGCTCCACCAGTGGGCCAGGTGGCGGGCCGGCATTGGCCGACTGCATGATGATTGCGAGCTGGGAGGAGAGGAGTGGCCAGATGATGAGCACGCGGGAGCGGTTACGTAGGGTTACCACTAGGAGGAGATCGAGACAAAAGACTGCTGTATCTTCTTCGTCTGGCGATAGAGGGCCTACAGCTATCCCTCCTCCACTCCCCACTCCTCCTCCCACAGACGCCCCACCCGCACCTCCCCCTCCCCCTCCTACTCCACCTCCCCCCCCTCCTGCTCCCCCTCCGCCTCCACCTCCTCTTCCCCCCATCCCACCCCCACCAGCCCCCACCCCCGCGCCCCCAGCATTCCCCCCACCAGTCCCCCCCGGCCCCATCCCTAGCGCGCCCCTAAACGCCCGCCCAGCAGCCCACACAATGGCCCTCACGAGGTGCATCAGCGCTTCTGCTTCTAGCCCTTCAGCCGTCCCTCGGAACAGCTCCTCGATTCGGCATGCCCCCACCGCCTCCTCCGTGCGCTGCCGCGCCGCCACCTGGCGCTCCGTGGGCTGCGCTGAGCTGGCGCCGCCGTACGAGTAGTCATCGTCAGAATCCAGCAACAGCAGCTGGGAGAACCGCATCATCAGCCCTCCCCCCCCGCCGCTGCTACTGCCGGCGCCTTTCTTGCGGGCGGCTGCGGCTGCTGGGCTGGTGATAGCAAGGGTTGATGTGGCAGCAGTGGTGGTAGATGATATAGTGGAGGAGGAAGGGGTGGGACTCGTTCCCATCTGCTGCTGCTGCGGCTGCTGCTGCTGCTGTGACTGTTGCGGCTGCTGTTGTGGTTGAGGAGAGGCATATGATCCCCCTGCGAATGCTCCATCCTCTGTTTCCTCCACCTCGCTTATAACACGAGCAGGCAGCAACCCTAGCTTGTGCAACCGAACCACACAGTCGAGCAGATTCCGCCACCCTCCCCGAACCACCCCGCCGTGCCTGTTTGCCAAACCAAAGACAGTCACGGCGGCCAGCCGAGCCTTGGTGTCCTCCCCAAACGCCACGGCTGCCGCGTTGTCCACTAGATCGGCGCCACTTGGCAGCGATCCGGAGGGGTTCAGGCGGAGCGTGGTGCAGCGGCAGAGGGAGACCACTAGATCGTCTAACGCTCCTGAGAACCCGTGAAAAGCCGCCACGTCAGCAGCGGCTGAGAACCCGTCGGTGCAGCAGCGAAGGAGGGATTCGTCGTCCTCTGTGTGGTCGAAGACAACAGATATGGCTGCTATAGCTGGGCCTGCCACGACTGCAAACACGTCTCTGTCTAGTTGGAGCAGGAAGAGAGAGGAGGACGAGCGCGGGAGGGAGAGGTTGGAGAGAGGAGGGGAGAGTGGGGAGAGGTGCTTCGACGGTGGGGAGGGGCGAGGAGGGGAGGAGGACTGAAGGAGAGGGGGAGCAGGAGGGAGGGATTCTGAATTGAGAAAAGCGGAAGCAGTAGAGTCGAGAGACTGAGAGGGGGAGGCATCGCATGCAGCATTGTCAGTGCCCGGAGCATCAGCAGCACTGGCATTGATACCACTACTACCATCACCAGCAGCAGCAGCAACAGCTGCAACATCATCTGCAGAAGACCATTCTGGGTCAGCACTGGATGCGAGAATGTAAGGCACAGCGGTCGGCGACCGTCGGATCAGCCCGAGCCAGCGGCTGAGATTCATCTCAGGAAAAGCGGAGGCGGAGGAGGAGGAGAGGGAGACATCGGAGGACATTTTGATCTCGTGGCGGGCGATGGCATGGTAGGTCTCTGAGAGCAGCTCTCTTGGGAGGTCCTTTCCATCGTTGATCTTCCTGTTGTTGCGGATAAACTCCTCCTCCGTCATCTTGCGCCGCACCTGGTGGAGGGAGGGGGGGGAGAAAGCGGGGGTGGGGGGAGCGGGGGCGGGAAGGTGGGACAGGAGCGGGAACAGGGACAGGGGGAAGGAGGAGGGAGAGCAGAAAGAGGGGAGGAGGAGAGGGAGACATCGGAGGACATTTTGATCTCGTGGTGGGCGATGGCGTGGTAGGTCTCTGAGAGCAGCTCTCTTGGGAGGTCCCTTCCGTCGTTGATCTTCCGGTTGTTGCGGATAAACTCCTCCTCCGTCATCTTGCGCCTCACCTGGGGGGAGGGGGGGATTGGTGGGTGGTTGAGGGAATAGGAGAGGAAAAGCGAGGTGCGAGTGCACAGGCAGAACCGCCCACCAAAAAAGCTTATATGCATCACAGACAGAGTACAACAACACATGCACACAGAAGAAGCACATATTCATCAAGAGGCATTACGATGTACAACAATTCATAGAAGTCAACTAGTAAGTCACCCCACGCACCTGCCCATTGTAAAGGTCAGTGTTGAGCATGATGACCGAGTACGACAGCACATACGCCACGTCATGGTTCGCAAACCCATACGCAGCGGGCGCCAGCTCATAGTACCGCTCTGCAAACGCTTCCAGCACTCGCGAGCTCTCTACCGCAGCACATGCCCGTGAAGGGAGTTTTGAGACGTCTCAAAACGTGAAGGGAGTTTTGAGACATCTCAAAACGTGAAGGAAGCACACTTGCTCTCAGCACGCACTCATAAAGAGGCATTACGAGTGACAACAACTCATACTACCAGCTAATAAGCCACCCACGCACCTGCCCATTGTAAAGGTCAGTGTTGAGCATGATGACCGAGTATGACAGCACATACGCCACGTCATGGTTTGCAAACCCATACGCAGCGGGCGCCAGCTCATAGTACCGCTCTGCAAACGCCTCTAACACTCTAGAGATCTTCTGCGCCTCCCCAGGCAGCCGGAACCCTTCTAGAAACGTTCTCAGCGCCGCATCCAGCGCCATGCCCTCGAAATCAAACAGCTTAGCGAATTCCCCTAAAACGCGGACGTGGAACTCCTCATGCCCACCCAGCAGGTCCCCCACTAGTGTTTTGTTAAGTCCCGGTGTGAAGCGCAGGAAGCAGGCGACGGCGCGGGCGTCGGGGAGTGAGGGGAGGATAGCGGAGGCTTGGAGGAACTGCAGCCCCTTCTTGGAGTCGCGATTGAAATGCTCCACGCCTATCAGCAGCCGCCGCTTGATAGACCTCTGCTGCCTCACCACCTCCACTAGTAACAGCTGCTGCTGCTGGTTGTGCTGCTGCTGGTGCTGCTGGTGGTGGTGCTGCTGATGGTGGTGGTGCTGCTGATGATGCTCATTCTGTGGCTGTCCCTGGAACCCGTCTACAGATGCTGATACGCCAACCTGCTTGCCTGCTGCTGCCCCCTCGCCTGTTCCACCAGCAGCTGCTGCAGCCAGAGCAGCGGCAACCATCTCCCGAGCCTGCGTCCACATGGCTCCGTTCTCCGAAGCTATCTTCAGCTCCGGCGCCGCTGGCACGGCCGAACCTGGCAGCAGCAACGGGGCTGGTGCCCCAACGACAGCACCATCCCCAGCACCCACAACACCACCACCACCACCACCAGCAACACCGGCAGCAGCAGCAGCATTAGCCCTGCCAGCCATATGATGCACCACAGCCAGCAACCCCTGCATAGCCAGCACATGCAGCGATGATAGCGGTGTGTTTACCGGAAAGGCTGCCCGAGAAAGCAGCCCTGAGAGCTCCTCCAGGCAATTCGCACATGTGAGATCCGCGTCGAAGTTGGCGAAAGTTTCCACGGCGAATTCGGGCAGGCGGCAGAAGTCGAGGAGGGCTTCCAGGGCAGCTTCCTGCTGCGCAAAGGAAGTTGCGGTGAACTTTCCTGCTGTGCCGACGAGACGTGCGATGACACAGGTGTAAAAGGCTTCTAGCTGCAGCTTCAGATGGGCGCGGGCTGAGTGGAAAAGCGTTTGCACTATGGCCAGCACCTGGGTGGGTTGGGATGTGGGGCGCATGCAAGGGGCAGAGGCACATGCATTAGGGAGCAGAGGTAAAAGCAGCATCTAGCTGCAGCTTGAGGTGCGCGCGGCTGAGTGGAAAAGCGTCTGCACTATGGCCAGGAGCTGGGGAAGAGGGGGACAAGGGGGGGAGGTGGCACACTGGTGGGGTGCATGAAAGGGGAGCACAGGTTTAGAAGGCCTCTAGCTGCAACTTGGGGTGGGCACGGGCAGAGTGGAAAAGCGTCTGCACTATGGCCAGGAGCTGGGGGGGTCGGAAGTGGGGCGCATGCAAGGGGCAGAGGCACAGGCAGTGGTACAGGTTGGGGAGAACAGGGGTGAAGAAGACTCATCGGCTGCAACTTGGGGTGTGCATGGGCGGAGTGGAAGAGTGTCTGCACGATCGCCAGGACCTGGGGCGGGCGGGATGTGAGGTGTGGGTGGTGTGCGGCGCATGGAAGGGGCAGAGACAACGGCAGTGGTGGAGGAGGGTTGGGGGGGACAGAGGTACGGAAGGCTCATGGGCTGCAGCTTGGGGTGAGGGTGTGCGCAGTGGACGAGCTGGTGCGGGCAGCATGGCTAGGACCTGGGGGGCGAGGATGGGAAGACGTGCGGAGCATGAGGACGCAGAGGTACAGCACAGTACACTGAGGTTCACCACCCTGACTAACTAAAAAGCAGGCTCGTACCTGCGAGAGCAGATACTTGAGAATTCTGGATAATCTGCAGTACACTAGTACAGTGAGGTACACTGCAGTTCACCACCCTGACTAGCAAGAAGGCAATCTCGTACCTGGGAGAGCACGAGCAGCTTTGGTGACAGTCCCAGCTGCAGCAGCGAGCGGAAGAGCTCGTCCTGAACGAGCGACAGCAGGCGCGGGTGGTGCACCACCGAGCAGAGAGAGACAGGTTTCAAACCTGAGAGAGAACGCACAGACCCCTCACCTGCGAGAGAACTAGAAGGTTCGGAGACAGTCCCAGCTGCAGCAGCGACCGAAACAGCTCATCCTGCACGAGGGACAGCAGACGCGGGTGGTGTACCACCGCCGGCCCGGCAAGCTCCAGAGCAGCCGATATGAGACTGAGCGCCAGCAGTGACACGTCATCATCTGCCAGCATGCCCGAGGCAAAGAGCGCTGACTGATGGTCCTCCAGGCCTAGCAGCGAGCAGAGGAAGTGAAATACCTCCACTGCACACGCCACTCCGTGCGGCCTGCCCAACGCTCCAACTGATGCTCTGTTGCTGCTGCTGCCTGCCTGCCCCCGCTCCCCGTCCTCCTCCCCCTCCTCCGCTTCTCTGCTTGCGTCCCGCTGTCCCCGGGGCTGTTCGAGAGGCTCGGCGGGAGGGGGAGGTTTGGAGGTAGGAGGAAGGCCGTTGGGAGTTGAGGTGGATTGGGTATTGGGTGTTGGTTCGCTGGCGGTTCTGCTGCTGCTGGTTCTGCCTGTGGCACTCACGGCTGCCACCCCTCCTGCTGCTCCTAGCGTGGTGGTAGCTGCTTCAGCCTGTATGGCAGAGGCAACAGCAGAAAAGTAGACAGCTTGAGAGAAAGCAGCAGCAGCAGCAGCAGCAGCAGTAGCAGCAGAGGTAGCAGAACGCATGGCACAAGTCAAAGGTGAGGAAAAAATGCAAGACCGAGGCGTAGGTAAGCAGAATTGACACACATCCACATTTTCCCGCCCCAAGTTTCATACACCTTATCCAAATGATCTCACCTGACCGGCATTCCCCCCATCTCGCGCATCCCCTCCTCCCCCATCCTCCACCGACGACCCCCCCAGCTCCAACGCCCCCTCCTGCACCCCTTCCTCCCCACCCCCCTCCCTCGCCTCCACTCTTGGCGAAAACGGCGTGCTATCCATCGTCCCCTGTGTCGCCTCGGCCTCCCCTAGCTCCCTCTCCTCCTCGCTCGCGGGCAGCTCGGGCAGCCGCCCGAAAATCTCGCGGACCATGTCGAGGAGGGTTTGGCAGGCGAGGCGCTGCAGCAGGTGGCTCTTGGAGGCGGCCTGGTGCAGCACTCGGAAGCACGTGTTTACGATGCTGCACATGTGGCGGTCTGACAGCAGGGGGCCTGCTGGGCTTCGTACTGTTTCCAGGAGCACCTGGGGGGGGTTGGGGAGGGGGGAAGGAGGAAGGGAGGGGAGGGGGATGGAAGACACATAGGTTGGAGGCCGACTGGTGCAGCAGTCGGAAGCACGTGTTCACGATGCTGCACATGTGGCGGTCTGACAGCAGGGGGCCTGCTGGGCTGCGTACTGTCTCTAAAAGAACCTGGAGAGAGGGGGTGCGGGTGGGGGGGGGGGGGGGGGGGGATTCACAGACTTGAGGCCGCCTGGTGCAGCACTCGGAAGCACGTGTTGACGGTGCTGCACATGTGGCGATCCGAGAGGAGAGGACCCGCAGGGCTGCGCACCGTTTCTAGGAGCACCTCATAGGTGGGATGTGGGGGGAAGGAATAGGAGGGGACGGGACGACGTAGAGGCCGTGCTAGGTCTCGAGGCGCACCTGAATGGCTGGATTCTAACGCTCACGGCTGGGTAGGGAGAACCACGAGGAGAATCAATGCGCGCTCAACAATGATCGCTCCCAGAAAAACAAGACCTGGTGAAAACAAACATCACACTAAGAGTCACTTACCTCGAGACGTGGTAAAAACAAGACCTGGTGACCTCGAAACTTGGTGACCTCGAGACGTGGGTGTCTGGAGAGGTACAGATTCGAGGATCCGGGTGTCACAATGTCCCAATCCCAAGCAGTTACCCCAAGGCGCGAATACCTGGAGGATCTTGACGAGGACCGCCTCGTCGCCACGCGCTTACATTGACACGTGGTATTAAACGCGACGCAGTTACCTGGAGGATCTTGACGAGGACCGCTTCTTCCGACGCGAGATCCGTGACCTCGAAGCGGCACGACGTGACCGCGTCCATGACCATGTGAATCCCCACGGCCGCGCCGGGTGTCGACTCGTCGAAAAACTGCAGATTCAGGATCTTCAGCACGGACGACAATGCGACGCTGGTAACAATCGTGTTTGTTCGCTCGGATCGCACGACGTCGAGGAACGGCGCGAGGTACGCGGAAGGCGGCACGCGAGCCGCCTCCCAGTCGTCGTCCGACCAATCGGTGACGATCTTCTGCCTTAAGGCTTTAAGATTGCGCAGCAGCGGATCTTCCGCGTCGGCGCCGGACGTTTCGTCGAGGAAGATCGGGGAGACGGCCCATTTGGAGCTCTGGCGCATGACGGCCAATAGCGTGTGGATCTCCGTGCTGAGCTGGCACGCTCGCACGTGCGCGCGCGAGCCATTGAACGCAGTTCTACCTGCACCGGTTCTACCTGCCGTTCTACCGACACCCATTGTCGATGATCCTAATCGGCTCGCCATGGTTTCAGGAACGAATTAAGGGGAGAACATTAAGCGGCTGGCAAGGATTGCTGTCGAGATAGCCAACACACGAAAGTCTACATGGGAACAAGTGAGGGAAGTTGGGATTGACGTAAATGAACTACCGACAATAAGGACTGGGAGGCCGCAATGGAGCGACACGCAGCTCTCCGAACTTATATTTTCAATGAACCAAGGGGTAATGGTAAGGGAGCACTAGATCTTGACAGAGACTGACAGTACACACGGCCTCCTCTACACAGCGATCTACACCAACTCAGCTCTGCGCACTAAAGCCATATCGTGAAAACTGTAATCAAGTTCAGATAAGCTACTAGGTGGTTCCCTGATACATGGTGTGGCTTTCCTCCTCAGGTGGAAACTCAATTCACGAATCACACGACTCATCAGCTTTTGCTGCAGATTGGTTGGATGATTTGGCGGGTGGACGCACTGAGGAGGCACGCACAGCAGCACGGAAATTGCCAACAAGAAGCCCACAGAGCACTGTAACGAGTATGGTCACAGCTGGGGTGGAATTTCAAACAAAACCATATGCCCAGAACGAAGAACACTAACAGGGTACAAACAGATTCTACCTAGAAGGTTCCTAGTCATAGAGATGACTGCTTAGTCCTAGGTGGGTGAAGCGTGCAAAATGGAACTTTTGGGTTTTCCTGGTGCTTCCTGGTGCCACACGCCCTGCAATATCTAATGCCCAAGCCCTGTCTCCATGCACAAGTTCCTGTTAGTGTGATTCGATGTACAAACCCTGTAACAGGTGTGCTCCAACCGCACAAGCCCTGTGGCTAGCATGCTCTGGTGCACAAGCACTGCACATTCCCTGTAATTTAAGGGCTCTGATGCGCAGCTTTCTGGAAGCTATCTCACAAGCCTTGTGGTTAGGCTACTTTGCTGCACTAGCCGTGTCGCTAGCATCCCTTTATGGGCAAACCCTGGGCTCAATGCACAATCCCTGCAGTTAGTGAGCTTCCATGCACAAGCGCTGCGTTTAGTGTCTGGCATTCGGTTCATTGGACAAGCCCTGTGATTAGCATGCCAGGAGGCACAAGCCCTGTGGTTAGCCCTGTGGTTAGCCCTGTGGATAGCCCTGTGGATAGCCCTGTGGATAGCCCTGTGGTTAGCCCTGTGGTCAGCCTTGTGGTCAGCTCTGTAATAAGCCCTGTGACTAGCCCTGTGGTTAGCCCTGTGGTTAGCCCTGCAGTTCGCCCTGCGGTTAGCCCTGCGGTTAGCCCTGTGGCTAGCCCTGTGGTTAGCCCTGTGGTTAGCCCCGTTGTTAGCCCTGAGGTTAGCCCTGTGGTTAGCCCCGTTGTTAGCCCTGAGGTTAGCCCTGTGGTTAGCCCTGTAGTTAGCCTAGCCTACACGGGGGGTTGCTGGTGGGTCACATGGGGTGGTAGGTCGCAGAGGGAGGTGGGTTGCAGGGGGACGTGGGTCGCAGAGGGAGGAATGGGGGGGAGCAATGCAGCGAGGGGGAGGGGATGTGGGGAAATGCCTACGAATGGGGAGGGGGGTTGCAGGGGAGGGGAGGGGACGGGGTGGGATGGAGTAAGGGGCGGTGGGTGGGTTAGGATCTTGGGGGGTCAAGGAGGAGAGGGGGGGGGGGGGTTACCATACCTGAGAGTGTTACTAGTCTATATAGCCTATCTACTCTAGCATATTTGTTCTTCATCTTCCATCTTGCAAGCACGGGGTTGTCCTGCAAGCAGACGAGAGGAGGTGGCAAGGCAGACAAGATTTTAGCTCCTATATGTGATGAAATCAGATACGATATGCAATTATGGGTGTTGTCAGATTGGGGTAAACGATTTACATGATTGAAATAACCTAAACAATGTACAGATACGATACGATACGATACGATACCATACGATACGATACGATACGATACAATACAGTACCATATCATATGAATTGATATGCTGTGATATGATATGATAGGATATGCTGTCTTTGAGATTCAATCTGTGTTCGGTTGCTTTTTTCTCACCTTCACAGACAACGATGAGATCTTCACCAGTTGGCCACTCCAGTTGGCCACTCCAGTTGGCCACTCCAGTTGGCCACTCCAGTTGGATCCACCAGGCGATCGCAATCCCCACCCCACCATCCAATCCTGTCAAGTCAGCAACACACCCGAAACGAAGCAGCGAAAGAGCGATGGGCATATGAGAGACAAAGAGAAGATAAAAGGACACGAGCATGTTAGCTAATGATGAAGATTATGGTTCCATTTCTGTCACAGCGGAATTGTGTTGCCGGGCAGAGAGAGAAACGGCCATGGAAGGCAAAGGACTGTGAGACATGGACAGGAAGTGTGAGGATGGAAGGGGTATTGGCGCGCCATGCAAGTGTGGTGCAGAAGAAAAAGGGGTGGGTGCAGAAACTCACAAGAAGGAATCGTCAAAGCAAGTGCGATTCTTGTGCACCCTCGTGCTCCGCCCACTACTGCTGATCACACCTGAAGGAAGAAACACGAGGGAAAATGCATGTGAAGAAAGAGAAGAGGAAGAGCCGAGAAGTAAGGAATGTGAAGAAAGAGGAGAGGAGAAATAAGAAATAAGGCATCTGAAGGTAGAGCAGGGAAGGTAAAAGAAATGAGAAACGGAGACGAGATGCAACAGAAAGGCCGACAAGGGGAATCTGGGGGCAGAGAAAAAGAGTGTTGAGCGAGCAGCGCTACCATAAGCAGACGATGCCATTGCCGTGCCTGTAGACTCATGTGGGAGCAGACAAATGGGAGCCCTATGTGGAGTGGATTGGAAGGAAGCCAAAGGTGGATATGCTTTGGGTGTTCGGGTGCATGTGCATGGCGCTCGTGCCTAAGCATCTTCGGCACAACAAGCTCAGTGCTAAGGCGATATGGGCTGTGCACTTGGGCATGGCTCAAACAGCAAGGGGTGGCTTCTTTGGGACCCATTCACCAAGAAATTCTTGGTGAGCAGGGACTGCAAATTCATGGAGAACCTGAAAATACACTGTCCCATGCCGCCATTGCCATGCCTGTTTGTCAGACAGCGGCGCAGGAGGATATGAGAGGAGAGAAGGTGGTGTGAAGAAGCGGGACGGACGGAAGCAAGAGTGGACGGAGGACAGAGCTTTGAGGAGATGCGGGACAGGAGGGGATGAGGAACGTACCGCGTTGTTCCTCTTTGAGGGAATAGGGCTCAGTTGATTCGCCCTTGCTTGTTGTCCCTTGCTGACATTGCTGCTGCTGCCACTCCCGTGCTGTGTTCAACTGCAGAATGAAAGGCAGGGGAGGAGACAAGGAAGGTATGGGAGGAGCAGCGAAGCAGAAATAGAGGGCTGGCTAGGCGACACATGGAATTGTGGAGTGGATCTTAGCATGCAACATGGGAATGCCACTTGACCGTTGCTCGATCTGGCAGAAAAGGAGTGGCAAGGGAGGCAAAACTGTCGAATGCGAAGGAAAAGGTTCTGTCAGAGGAGACTTACCGCATAAATAATCTTGTCCCTCATCTCTGCTCCTTTATCTCTACTCCCACTTGGCTGATTCCTCTGCGTCCTCCTCTGTTGCCGAATATCACAACAGAGGTAAATATAAACTACAGCCTACGGTGACGTGAAGGAGTGTTACGAGAGAAGCACTTCAGGACAGGATGCCAAAAAAACGGCGAACAAGATGAAGAAGGAAGGAGGACTACAATAAAGCGAAATTCGGATCTTACCACATATGCTGCTGCGGCAACCTCTTGTCCTCCTCTGCTCCCTCTCCTCCGCCTCAGTGCCCTCGCCTCATTTGCACGTATGGTCCTCTGCTCCCTATCCCCTCCTGAGTGCATAGTCCGCTGCTTCCTCTCCTCTGCTTGTATCTTCGTCTGCTTCTTCTCTTCCTCTGCATGCATCGTCCTCTGCTCCTCTTCACCTCTCCATGTAACTTCGTCTGCTGCTTCTCCTCCTCTGCTGCTTCTCCTCCTCTGCTGCTTCTCCTCGCCTGCATGTTTCGTCCTCTGCGCCCTCTCCTCGTCTGCTCTCTATCCAAAGATTCAAAACCAACAGTGCTACAACCTAAAGGAGAGGAGAGAAGTTACAGCCTACAGGTGAGATGACGAGCTAAAGCATCGCCTGTACTATATAACAGAGCAAGGCACACAGCAGACGAAGCATGTCAAGATCATCCCACCTAGCCCCTGGCTGAATTTACTAAGTTGTTCATTTCTCCCAGCTTGACTGTTCGTTATCCACTCCAGCATGCATCGGGCATAAGCACTGCCCTGTAGTCAGAGTGGGGTTAGCGTACCTGTAGTTAGGCGCTGCCCTGTAGTCAGAGTGGGGTTAGCGTACCTTTAGTTAGGCGCTGCCCTGTAGTCAGAGTGGGGTTAGCGTACCTTTAGTTAGGCGCTGCCCTGTAGTCAGAGTGGGGTTAGCGTACCTGTAGTTAGGCGCTGCCCTGTAGTCAGAGTGGGGTTAGCGTACCTGTAGTGATAAGTGGTGGGTGTTTGGCTAAGGTGATGGATGGGTGGGTCGATGCGTGGGTGGGTTGATGCGTGGGTGGGTCGATGTGTGGGTGGGTCGATGCGTGGGTGGGTCGTCGATGTGTGGGTGGGTGGACGGATGCACGGGCCAGGGGGAGAGACTGGTCAAGGGGAGGAGACGGCAGGGGGAGGAGGGTGGGAGACGAGGTGCGGGGGAGGGGGTGTGTGTTCCTATGCAGAAAATCCTAGATCGTGTTCTAGGTCTTAATTCTTCAATCTTCCATCTTCAACCTCCAATCGTCTCTTCTGAAGGTAGATGCCTCAGTTTTTCCTGCTAAAGAGAGGAGGGGACAGGCAGCAAAGAGTGAGTCGGACAGGCAGCAAAGAGTGAGTCAGACAGGCAGAGACTGAGCGGTGGATAGTGGTGCGTGGCTCACTAGAGCAGTAAGTCCAGCCAGAGGGAGCTTCTCCCCAAAGCGGTAAGGGCAGCCAAATGAAGCTTCTCACCAGAACAGAGTGTTTGCTCTGAGCCGGTGTTGCATTTCTCCACCACCATCAGCAGCAGCGCCAGCACTATCAGCAGCAGCAGCAGCAGCAGCACTGCATGAGCCGTCACCAGCAGCACTAAGACTCTCCTGCACCCACTGCATTCTTGCTGTTGGGATGAAATGGGCAGAAGAAGGCAACGCGCAGAGGGACAGGTGAAAGAGGGAGAGCGAGGGAATGAGGCAGCGAATGAAAGGCAAAAAGCGCCAACAGCAGTCTTCCGTGAAAAATGCATGAGTGGGAAACAAAAAAGCAAACTAGTGGGTTGGATGGGCCATTGTTGTGTGGAGAATCGCTCTTGAACCGTCAGCTTGAGGAGCTATCACCTGCTGCGGGTCCATCCGTGAGAATTCAGGCAGCTGGAGGAGGAACGGGGAGCGAGGGGAGGAGGGCAGAAGTTGGGAGGAGAAGACGGGTGCTCCTCCCATGCTGCCCTCAGTGGTTGCACTTGCAGCGGCACCCCTCACAGCAACACCCCTCTCAGCAACACCCCTCACAGCAACACCCCTCACAGCAACACCCCTCACAGCAACACCCCTCTCAGCAACACCCCTCTCAGCAACACCCCTCTCAGCAACACCCCTCACAGCAACACCCCTCTCAGCAACACCCCTCTCAGCAACACCCCTCTCAGCAACACCCCTCTCAGCAACACCCCTCTCAGCAACACCCCTCACAGCAACACCCCTCACAGCAACACCCCTCTCAGCAACACCCCTCTCAGCAACACCCCTCACAGCAACACCCCTCTCAGCAACACCCCTCTCAGCAACACCCCTCACAGCAACACCCCTCACAGCAACACCCCTCACAGCAACACCCCTCTCAGCAACACCCCTCTCAGCAACACCCCTCACAGCAACACCCCTCACAGCAACACCCCTCACAGCAACACCCCTCTCAGCAACACCCCTCTCAGCAACACCCCTCTCAGCAACACCCCTCTCAGCAACACCCCTCTCAGCAACACCCCTCTCAGCAACACCCCTCTCAGCAACACCCCTCTCAGCAACACCCCTCTCAGCAACACCCCTCTCAGCAACACCCCTCTCAGCAACACCCCTCACAGCAACACCCCTCTCAGCAACACCCCTCTCACCAACACCCCTCTCAGCAACACCCCTCTCAGCAACACCCCTCTCAGCAACACCCCTCTCACCAACACCCCTCTCAGCAACACCCCTCTCAGCAACACCCCTCTCAGCAACACCCCTCTCAGCAACACCCCTCACAGCAACACCCCTCTCAGCAACGCCCCTCTCAGCAACACCCCTCACAGCAACACCCCTCTCAGCAACACCCCTCTCAGCAACACCCCTCTCAGCAACACCCCTCTCAGCAACACCCCTCACAGCAACACCCCTCTCAGCAACACCCCTCTCAGCAACACCCCTCTCAGCAACACCCCTCTCAGCAACACCCCTCTCAGCAACACCCCTCTCAGCAACACCCCTCTCAGCAACACCCCTCACAGCAACACCCCTCACAGCAACACCCCTCACAGCAACACCCCTCTCAGCAACACCCCTCTCAGCAACACCCCTCTCAGCAACACCCCTCACAGCAACACCCCTCTCAGCAACACCCCTCTCAGCAACACCCCTCTCAGCAACACCCCTCTCAGCAACACCCCTCACAGCAACACCCCTCTCAGCAACACCCCTCTCAGCAACACCCCTCTCAGCAACACTCCTCTCAGCAACACCCCTCTCAGCAACACCCCTCTCAGCAACACCCCTCTCAGCAACACCCCTCACAGCAACACCCCTCTCAGCAACGCCCCTCTCAGCAACACCCCTCACAGCAACACCCCTCTCAGCAACACCCCTCTCAGCAACACCCCTCACAGCAACACCCCTCTCAGCAACACCCCTCTCAGCAACACCCCTCTCAGCAACACCCCTCTCAGCAACACCCCTCTCAGCAACACCCCTCTCAGCAACACCCCTCACAGCAACACCCCTCTCAGCAACACCCCTCTCAGCAACACCCCTCTCAGCAACACCCTTCCCAGTGGCTGCCTCTACCGCTCCTTGCAGCTCGTGCTCCCTTTGGCCTGGAACAAGCTGTAGGGTTGAGGGAAGGGATAGGCAGACGGGAAATAGGAAGTAAGTCCGACGATGGAAGGCAGCACTGGAACAGACATTGCAAGCAACCAATGAAAACTGGAGAAAATAGAGAAGTGGAAACAATGTGTAAGGATGCAGGGAAAATAGAGAGGCGATGGTAGCACACAGCACTAGGGAGGCGAGCTAGCAGGCAAGGGGGTCGAGGTAAGGAAGGGACGCGGGCGTGAGTATGAATGCATTCTACTCTATCCCTCTACGACTCTAGTATGAGCTCAAGCCGCCCCAGTGCCATGCGCTACCATTGCCAAAACGCTGCTCATCTCTCACTCAACTTTTGACGCTCATCTCTCATCTCTCATCTTGTTTTATCAAGCATGCAGTGACGAAAGAACGCAGTACAGATGGGCAATGATAATTACGAAGCAGAAGCGGTAAGGATGGAAAGGGCGCTGGGAGAGGGAACTGAGCCGTATGGGGTTGCTTGCAGGAGGCACGTGCCCTGCTGTGAATGCCTGCCGTGCGTCATCCCACCGCCCTCCCTCCCCACACGCTGCCACAGCACCGGACAAGAGGGGTGCAGCAAAGGAAAGCAAGAGGAGCGAGCGGGGGGAAAGGAACTCAAGTAGTCAGTCGAGGCAGGATAGATAGCAAGAGGCAGAGATATGCATGCAAGGAGGCAGAGATAACAAGAGCGAATGAGTAACAGAAACAAAAGTTGAAGTTGAAAAGCACATGGCAGTGGCACTGTGACGCAGTGAAAGGGAAGGCGATGGTAGCACACAGCACTAGGGCGGCGAGCTAGCAGGCAAGGGGGGTCGAGGTAAGGAAGTGACGCGGGCATGAGTATGAATGCATTCTACTCTACCTCCCTACGACTCTAGAATGAGCTCAAGCCGCCCCAGTGCCATGCGCTACCATCGCCAAACGCCGCTCATCTCTCACTCAACTTTTGATCGTTCCCATGCGAAAGTGGCCTCATTTGTTTCGAGCATGCGGTGACGGAAGAATGCGGTAGAGAAATGGGCAATGATAAACACGAAGCAGAAGCGGAAAGGATGGCAAGGGCGAAGGGAACTTAGCCGTATGGGGTGCTTGCAGGACGGTGGCGTCAGGGCATGCAGGAGGCAAGCACACCGCTGTGACTGCCTGCCGTGCGTCATCCCACCGCCCTTCCTCCCCGCACCACGCTGCCATAGCACCGGACGAGAGGGGTGGAGCAAAGGAGGAGAGCAAGAGGACCGAGCGGGGGAAAGGAACCCAAGTAGCCTGCTGTAGCAAGAGAGTACTGAAATGCATGCAAGGGGGCAGAGATGACAATAACGAATTACCAGCGGAAACAAAAGTTGAAGATAAAAAATCATGCGGCACTGTGACACTGTGAAAGGGGATGGTGATGGTAGCACACACCACTAGGGCGGCGAGCTAGCAGGCAAGGGGGGACTGGGAAAGGAAGTGACGCGGGCATGAGTATGAATGCATTCTACTCTATCCCCCTACGACTCTAGTATGAGCTCAAGCCGCCCCAGTGCCATGCGCTACCATCGCTAAACGCCATTGGAAAAAAAACTCATGTTTTCGAGCATGCAGTGAGGAAAACGCGCGGTACAAAGTGGGCAAGGACAATGACGAACCAGAAGCGGCAAAGATGACAAGGGCAAAGGGAGAGGGGACTTAGCCGTATTGGGGAGCTTGCAGCGATAGAAGCAGCGCGACAGTCATCGCTCCAGCCAGCAGGATAATCCACTCTGATGCTTCATTGAATCTCCAAATGAGCGTCCCTCGCTGCTGTTGATGTGATTCCGACCGGCCGTCGCATTCGCCTCTTTTATGGTCAACGTTTTGCGTCTCAATTGTCACCGCCGAAAAGCAGCGCTTCGATCGTCGCCGTGAAAAGTGACCATTTCAGTCGATACATCCCGGAAAGCGTCCCTTCGGTCGTCACCATGAGAAGCCGTTCTATTGATCGTCACTGTCAGCGTCAATTCGGTCGTCGCCGTGAGAATTCACCATCACCGCGATCGTCACCATCAGAAACGTCGCTTCGCTCGTCATCGTAACAAGTCGAGACTTTAGATCGTCGCCGTCGAAAAATGTCACCTCGACCGTCACCGTCGGAAATCGTCGCTTTGATCGTCACGGTGAGAACTTGCACCCTGATCGTCACTGTCAGAACGCATCACTTCGATCGCCACCATTAGAGGTGATTCTCTCGATCGTCACCGTCAGAACTCGCCTATCACCCCCTCGTCGCAGCGCCATCAAATCATTCGCGTTGCCTTCGCCGTGGAAAACATTTTCGCCGGCAGGGTATCGGCGTCGGCCGTCACGAAATCAAACTGTTCTCGCTGCTTCAACGAACGTATTATGGAGAAATCTTCGGAAGATTTCTGAGGCATCTCGGCGAGCCCCCACTCTCCCCGCGACTGTCAGGAGATGTCTAAAATACTAAAGACGGAGTTATTGTGAAATACTGCGACCAAAATCGAGATTTCGATCAGGATAGAGAATTATTGGTAGACGACGGAATGGCAGTCGACGGGAGCCAGGTACTGCTAGGAGCCGCCTGACAGATTCAAAAAATATAGAGATGGAACTTTTTCGAGTTACTAGAGCCGTCTACCTATAAAACTGTTAGACTCTCCGTAGGGCAGCCGTAGAGCTCAGTTTATTCGATAAGACAGTGTCTACGACTAAGCGTTAAAACGGTTACGCGTCGGACGACGACAGCCATGGATTGCAACAGTATGAGCTTGGTTCTTGAAATCAATATATCTGACGATCACGATGGAATAAGACTAAGACTACGAAATCTGAAAGTAACATGATCCGTAAGAAATGGCGACAGCCATGGACGTCGGCTTAAAACCCGCAGGCCAAGAATTTCAACCTTAGGAAGGTTGGTTGGGAGTGAAAACGCAAAAGGCCTGCGAACCAATAGGAGTGTCCGAAATGTTGGACGAGGTCTAGAATTCGGGAATGATCACAGGCATTTTTGGGACATCCAACCAACGCTAGGAAGGATGAACCAAATTTGGCCTTCTTGGCCTGCGGGTTTTAACGAGCTTTTCTTCAAGTACTCAATGAGCAGAGTGGTGTGATCAAGGCTTCAGAATGGCATCCATCAATGGAACAAAAGTTGGGTTCAGTGGTGCATTCGAGGCGACTCAAGAGAGATTTAGAGTGGTGGTGAAGGATTCCCAGAGAAAATAAGGAATCAGTGGAGACTAGTCCATTTTCCCGGCTCAGGTGGAGGCCGCCGCACCGTTGGTGGATGGTGCAGGTTTCGTGAGAGTGTAGACCACGAGGCTGGCCATTTCGTCAGCAGAATATGCAACTTGCGAAATTTTGACTTAGAGTTTAGCGAACAAATCTTCCGCATCTCTGAAGCACGAAATTCCCAGAGCTCCCCCATCTGTCTGACAGAAGCGGATGTCTCTGCCAGGGCGCCACGCCGTGGATGGTATGGATGTGTCTCATGCTTGTACAAATCAATTGAAAGGCTGACTGCAACTCTCCCCGGCAATGCTATGTGCTCCTTGCTTCCTCCTGGTGTGCGACACAATGTACTTCACTCCAGTGGAGTCACCTCACCTGCGTCAATGTTTGTTATGATAATGTTGGGGAAAATATGCCACAAGTAACCAAATTGGAACTCGATAACGTGAATGGTAAAAAAAAAACGCGTACGGTCACTGTATCGGGTTTTCTGACGGGTCTGGTAAGCGGGGTCACGGATTCAGTCACTAACAACAGGTAAAAAATCACGCGAATGGTCACACATGTAACTCCCGCCAAAAAAACTTGAAACTCAACAAAATTCCCGCTCGCGCCCAACCAATCTGCGAACTTGTAAAAAAACTAAAACCCAATCGGAATCGGATGCGGTTTGGGAACGGATCAACCCTAAACACCTGGCGAGTTACGTGTTTAGGGTTGATCATCCGAAAATGCATCCAGGTTCTTTCTGGGTTTCATTTTGTTTTGGCGGGAGTTTCATCTGTGACCATTCGCGTTAATTTTTACCAGCTGATTGTGACTGATTCCGTGAAACGCTTTATCAGTCGCGTGAAAACACCCTTTGCAGTGACCGTACCCTTTATTTTTTTACCAAAAATGTTTTCGAGTCCCATGATGGTTACGAACGGTATATTTTCCCATAATGTTGCAGCGGATACACCATTTTGCCTCAACTACACTTCACATTTTGACAGTTGAGGCACATCGAGGCTTCAGGTGGAATGATGGCACTTGGAAAAACAGCATGGTAATCAAACCAGCTGCAGCGCCAATTACTCCAGTAAAGGAGCATAACATACATCAGGTAACTCTAAATGCGAAGGCACAACACAAGTGTAGCTGCCATACCACCCAAGCACCTGCCCATATATACAGCATATGAACGCATGCTCGCCGGTTTCTCCCACACGAGATCACCTCCACCAACAAACCACACACACACACTAACATCCCTCTCAGCTTGCACAAGCCCTTTCCTGCAAAGCCTGCAGGCAAGCAGACCAGCCTCCTCAAAGCTTCAGAGCGTTCCTGGCTTCAAAGCCCGCCCATAGCCTACCTGCACCAAGGCAGCGGTCTCGTCCCTGGACCAGCCACAGCTACCAAGGGCCATGTGTGTGCTGTGCATGCTCTAGATGAGTGAGTCGATCTCCTCTGAGCGCGCTGACTTGAGGGCGGACACGAGCCCTATGGGCACGTTCTGGCGGGGCCGCTGTGTCATGGGGTCCACGGGGGGCAGAGCGCAGCACTGCGCGTACTCGTCACCCTCAAACGCAAAGCAGTAGGGGTGTGCCGTGCCGATCTGAGGGAGGGGAGAGATGGGGAGAGGGAGGAGGGAAGAGCAGCGGACAGGTGTGAATGCGGCATGAGCGGGCGCCGAATGGCGTCATCTTATAACGAGTCATACTTGCAAGCACAGCACCTCGAGATCAGAAAGATCGCAGAGGTACAAGATGATGGGCCGCAGCACATTGCCGTGCGCCACCACCAGCACTGATTATTTCGAGTCTGCTTATAACGAGTCACTTA